AAGCAAATCACCTGGCACTGCCCGGTGGGAGCCGGGGGCTGCTGCTGCTGCTGCTGCCACCATTAATGTGACAACTGCAGATGGCCCACGCTTAGGATGCTTCCATGTACATTTCTTTGGCATCACAGTGGTGCAAAAGCACCTCCATACAACCATTCTGCTTTTCACTCTCGGTTCAATTTCCAGTAAACTCTGTGAAAGTCAGTACTTTGTTATAAAACAGGCTTTGTGATGGGTAACTTTGCCCAGATTTAAGAGAATTTTTTTTTTCTTTTTTTTTTGAGACAAAGTCTTGCTCTGTAGTTCAGGTCAGCCTTGAACTCACTGTGTAGCCCAGGCTGGCCCCAAACTTATGGCAATTCTGCCTCCGCCTCCTGAGGGCTGGGATTACAGGTGTACAGCACTATGCCCAGCCAGACTTTGCCCAGCTTTAGGCTAATGTAAGTATGTTGAAACATGTAAAGGTGGACAGGCTAAGCTGTGATATTCAACAGGCTAGATGTATTAAGTGCATTATTTTCTGCTTGTTTTTTTTTGTTTGTTTTTTTGTTTGTTTGTTTGTTTTTCTCCGGTACCGGGAACCGAACTCACGACCTTGCGCTTGCCAGGCAGGCGCTTTGCCGCTGAGCTAAATCCCCAGCCCCTTCTGCTTGTTTTTTTAGACAGGGTCTTGCTATGCTCCCTTTATAGCCCAACCTGGCCTTGAACTCATTAGGTATCCCAGCTGACCTCAAACTTGCAGTGATCCTCCTGCCTCAGCCTCCAGTGCTGGAATTACGGGCATGCACCACCACACCCAACTTACTAAATACATTTTCAACTTACAGTAGGTTTATTGAAATGTGACACTGCCATAATCTGAGGGACATGTGTACTCTTTTATTCCTGATCAGGGTAACAATTTCAGACCTTGATGTCACCAAATGTCAGGTGTCACAGCTAAGACCGGTGCAGTCTCACTGGTGTGCACCCCCTGCTGCAGGATGCTGTGTGTGACTTCTGTGCCTTGCTAGTCTCTTCACATGTCACAGGCTCATCAGGTCTCAGCTTGGGCTGAACTTTCTCTGTCTTAGCTCAGACGTGATGTCCTGGCTCTTGCCCTGAGCGGCCCACCTGTGTTGTGACACGATATGCCAGAGCAGACTCAGTGCTGTTTCTCTGCTCCACACGTCTCACCTTCCCCTTCCCCTCAGCGGTAGTGTTGCTCCCTGGTGGAGCTAAGGACCCACAGGACCCTGTTTTGCCCACGTCTCAGGATCAGGCACTTGGGGAAGAAGATTCTTTGGGCCCTGAGCAGGATGAGTTTGGTTCATGGATGCAGAGAACCATAACAGGAATGCAGGCTGTCGGGGAGGAAGGAGGCCAAGAGCACAGGCCCCATGGCCCTGGGCCTGTTTCTCACAAGCTTCCAAGACTGCTAAGTGCCACCATAGGTGCTAGTGGTTCCCAGTCAGTCTTCCATCCCCAGGTTGAGCAGCCGTTGCTGAGGCCACAGGTGGTAGCCACCCAGGCCTTCCCCGGAACAAGCGGCTCCCTCCTCCTTTGCCTCAGTTCATTTTCTGTTGCTATAACAGAATGCCAGAGACTGGGTAACTTGTAAAGGAAAGAAGCATAGTTAGTGCATGGTACTGAGGCTAGGAAGTCCAAGGGCAAGGACCTAGTGCTGCTTCCCTTGATGGTGGACAGTAGAAGGGCAAGTGGGCATGTGCAGAAGAGGCCACACATATAAGGACCTACTCTTCTGGCAAGGTGTCACTCCCTTATAGCCACCAAATTGCCTCTTAGAGGCCCCACCTCCCAGTACCACCAATGGCAATCAGATTTCAACATGAGTTTCCAGAGGGACGAACCTTAGCGCGGTGCGTGCTCTTTATGTTTCTATTTCATTTCGTGCTTTCTCCTCCTACCAGGGCCGTCCTGTGGTCCCTCATTTCAGGGTAGCCACCCCCACACAGAGCACATCCTCTCTGCCCGCCCCTGCATGGAACCTTTGCGAGCCAGCCTGGCCTTGGCAGCCCAAGGGCTGGGGCCCTGCCAGGAGCTGTGTGCATGAGCGGGCAGTGCCCAGCTGGCCCCACAGGCCGGTCTAGGACCTGCTCCCCCCAGAAGCAAATCCCGAAAGGGCAGCCATTGGTCACAGCCTGACTGGGCTGTCCCCAGGGAGCGAGGATGGGGGGTGGGGAGGACGGAGGAGGGGCTGGAAGAAAGCCGCCCTTCCTGTGGTGCCCGCTGCTAATTGGCTCTCTGGGAGCAGCTTGGGACACAGGGGCCAGCTGGGGCAGGAAGTGGTACACAATGCTGCTCTTTCAGGGCGACTGCGCTGGTCTGGTCTCAGGTCCCGTGTGACTCCAGGGAAAGCTGGAGGACAGCCTGTTCTCAGAGGATGTTCTCTAACCTAGACTCCCCTCCGGAGGTGAGCCACTGAGCCCTGAGCTGCCACCCTCTGCCCTGGGGGTACCGCTCCCCCAGGCATTGGCCTAGAAAGGGGCGGGACCAGTTCAGACCCAGTGATTTCCTCCAGAGTCTGGGACTTCAGGGACCAGGAGCAGTCTCTGAGCTGCTAGGGATCGCATCTGGGACTCTTAGGGGGATTTAGGGTACAGCAAAACCTAGGACCTTACCAAGTTGTGGGCCTGTGGGGACACAGAAGCAGGATCCCTACCCTCGGGACTTAATCTTAGAGGGGAAGGAAGGCAGTATACTAAGTATCAAACATACTAACAGACTTCAAAATTCAAAGTTAACAAAAAGAAGAAAGAAAAACAAATGTGGCCTGGGTAGCTTAGTAAGACCCAAAAAAGGTGAAATGTGGGCGGTGCTCTGTAAACAGGTAGATGCATGCAGTATGGGATGGGATATAGAGGCAGGATCTCAGGCACAGGGTGTTCAGCAGGGACTGAACCCCTGGTCCTAGCAGGAGACTTTAGCCCTGGAAACCTGAAGGAGGTGACATTGCTGGGGCCTTGGGTGACCCACAACTTGCTTAAGAGCCCAGCGTGCTGAGACTTATGCTCAGCCCCGATCGGTATGCTGAGCCCCGCCCTTGTCCCTGAAGCCGGGCTGTGGCCTCCAACCACGGGACAGCCAGTGCCCAGCCGTGTCCACTAGGTGAAGCGCAGCAGGGATGATGGTGGGCACGCTGGCTGCAGTAAGAAGCTCCCAGGAGCCACCCAGCCCAGGAGAGACTCGGGGACTGCCCCATGGAGGGCAGCTGGGCTCACAGGTGCCTGTAGCTGCCACTTTAGGGAGCAGCTTCTGTCTGGTGCTAGGCTAGGCCCTTGTCTCTTGGACTCATACTGGCAGGCAGTGACTCTGATGCCCACACGGATGCTGTCCCACACTTCCCTTGGGTCACTGAGGAAGGATGGGAGGGGCATTTGTCTGCTTCTTTGCCTGCTCAAGAGCCTTCTGTGGACCCCCAGTACCTTTCACGTCGTAACTCCTTGCCCTGATGTTCCGGACCTTTAAAATAGTCTAAAAGTAGGAAGGGACCTAGAAATCACCTAGTTCAGGGTGAGCCTGTAAGGCTTTTTCAGTCACCTGAAGTAGTGACTTACTGGCAAGCTGATTGTGTCCAGAATTTATCTACTTCAGGATAGTCTGAGGCACTAGGGCTTCGGTGGCTGGTGGGGTACAGTGAGGGTCTGTGAGCTGCAGCAGTCCAGCCAGCACCTGGTTCTGCACAACCTCACTGGCTTGTTCGTGTATTCATTTAGTCTTCAGTGACAGAGTTGGATAATTGTGATGGAGACCGTGTGACCTGTAAAACCTCAAATATTTCCTGATATTTGCTATTTACACAAAAAAGACTGGCCCTAGTCCAGCCTTCCTAATGGTTGATGCTAGACGACTCTTCATATTTGTGTGTGTTTGGGCTTTTCCATAATGAAAGGTTAAGAAAACACTTTGATCCTAGGAGTCATCTCACTCCCAGAAATCCACGCCTTGGAAAGAAAAGCATCCATTACTAAGGCTCTTTGTGTGTGTGTGTGTGTAGGAACCCTAACAGGTTGTTGATGTGGGTTGGAGTGATTAATGTCTGTGGAAGGGAATCAAGCAAAGTTGTAGAAAGGAAAACTTTCCACTACATAAGAAATAGCCTACAGGATATGATCTTGTTTATGTGTTTGTGTAACTTTTCTTCATACATGTGTGTTATTAAATTTAAGAGAATTGTAGCTGGGCACAGTGGTACCCACCTGTAGTGTCTATAATCCCTGCCTTTCAGGAAGCTGAGGCAGGAGGATTGCAAATTCGAGTCCCATCTGGGCAATTTAGTAAGACTGTCTCAAAAATAAAAAGGGATGGGGATGTAGCTCAGCACACCCTGAGCTGAGTCCCTAGTACCACAAAAATAGTAAATAAATAAATAAATAAATAAATAAGCAAGCAAGCTAATAAATAATTTAAAAAGGGAATTGTGATTATAAAAAACAACTGGAAAGACATATTTTTAATGTCCTTCAATGTAATGAAGGAAAAGGAAATTTATTGAGGAGTCGAAAAATGCCCAAGAATGAGAAAGTGAGAGACTGGAGTAGCAGCCGGGAAGGCCCTGTGGAAGGTCTTAGAGGTGACAGGGGCAGCTGGATGGTCTCAGGCCACATTCGCTCCCTGACATCAGGGCCCCTTCCTCCTGCTCCCCAAGGAATAATGTTTCCCCGGGGGATGAAAAGCCTTCCTTTGTGCAGGCTTTAATTGCCGTGTTGTTGTGCCAAGTGAATGAGTGGCAGGCGGGCGCAGCAGCTGGGCACCACCAATGCCAGGCAGCCAAGCCCGCTCCATCCAGGACCGCCGGGACCAGCTGGCCTGGGAGTGCTGCCCACCTCTGCCCCCAGCTGGGTGCCTGCAGAGGAACCAGCCTCCCTTGGCAGAGGGGGTCCGCCAGGGAGAGGAGCATCGGAGCAGGAGGAAGGGACGGCCACCGCAGGGTCTCAGCCCCTCTCAGAGGCTTATTCATCATATCCTCCCTTCCCCTCCCCCTCCCTCTTGTTTTGCAGACCGTCAGCATCAATAAGGCCATTAATACGCAGGAAGTGGCCGTGAAGGAAAAACACGCCAGAAATATCCTTTTGGATGTTGGGGAAGGCCAGCCCTGAGGAGAGTCAAGCCATGGGGACAGAAGTCAGGGAGAAGCTCCTGCGCAACAGCAGGAGGGGACCCCCTTCCTGGCCAGGTGCCTGTAGGCTGGAGCAGCTTCTGGGGGCAGCTGCGGACTGTCCAAGAGCACTGGCTTCAGGGTACACAGACATCGGGGTGGGAAGGACCCACAAGGCCATCCAGCCCAGTCCTTCCAACCTGCCTTTGAGGTGCTCGCGGGGCTCACCACCTGTCTTTGCAAAGCCTTCCAGGCCTCTGCATTTTGCCCGTAACAACCGCACTGACCACCTCCCAGGAGACACAGTGATGTCCCTTCTCCTTGAAAGGTTAAAAAGAAGTCTCAGCCGCAGTTAAACTGAGGCAGGGGTCAACATGCAAGTAAGACCACCTGGTGAGCAGGCGCGGCCTGTGCCAGAGAGCCCAAGGGAGCTGGTAGCTTGAAAGTCCTCCAAGGCCACCACACTGGGCCGGCCATCGTGAGGCCTTTGCTGTATAAGAGGTACAGGCACACCCTGGCCGAGGGTTTCCCTGGGACCCTGTGACCTTCTGAGCTCTGAGGAGCTGGACCCTGAAGGTGGGGTGGACTGCAGGGCCCATGGAGGCTGGCTTCATTGGCCATGGTAAACCTCTGCTTGCCTGGGCTCGTGCGGGTCACTTTGCCCCAGCAGTCAGATCATCGCTGCTTGTCCTAAAGCTGCCCGGCCTTGGCCCCTGGAGGAGACCCACCAGGTTAGATGGCCAGAGACAGTCAGTGCTGCTCCCCATGGTGTACTCTTGTGGAGCTGTGCTCTGGCTGGAATTAAGACTTTGCTATGGACAGTGGGGCTACAGCACCTCTGCAGTAACGCAGAAGCCTGACCCAGGAGTGAGGCTAGCTAGTTCCTGCTTCCTTTCTACCCCAAAAACGTTGCTGAGCCAGGCTTGTTTTGCTCACCATGCAGTATGCCAGTCACTGAAAGGGCGGGTTTTGGGAAAGAGCTCATTCATGTGAAGACAGAAGAGCCGGTCTCTGACTGCCTCCCAAGGGATGGGGTTTAAAGGCATCTATGGGATAAAGAAGTAGGGTGGTCTGAGGCATGATGGGAAGAAGCAGAGTAAGGTAATCAGTGATCTGATCATAGATATTCAAACCCATGGCTCCTGATAGGAGGCGTGTTCTGAGTGTGTGCAGGTATGGTGTTGGCCTTCTGACCCAAGTGAAGAGGTCGGTGGCTTCAACTGATTGGAGCTAGACAAGGCCACCTCCTAATTCCTAAAAAGAAAAAGATTTAATCAAGCCAGACATGGTTGCACACACTTGTAATCCCAGCACTCTGGGAGACTGAGGCAGGAGGATCACAAGTTTAAGCCCACCCTGGCCAGTTTAGTGAGATCCTGTCTCAAAAAAAATTTTAAAGGGCTGGGAATATAGCTTAGTGTGAAAGCAGTGGGTGTAATCCCCAGTAACAAAACAAAACAAAACAGCACCATTAACTTGACCTCAGAGGGGTTAACAGTGGTACTGTGGGTGAAATACATTATTGTTTAGCTAAGCAACTTCTAAGATCAGGGATGAAAGCAAGTAACTAGAAGCAAGTAAAGCTAGAGGTTTCAGTTTTTCCTTTAGCCTCAAAAGGCCCAGTCACTCTCCTTTACTGCAGCATACTCTGTCCCTCACCAGGGTTAAAGAGCAACAAGAGCTCTTATTTTAAATGCCGGGTAGAAGACTGGGTCCTGACCCCTCCTGGCTGAGGATGTGTGGTCAGTCTGGAGACAGGCAGTCGGCAGAGACTGGGGACCTCTTCGGGTGGGGGGTCGGTGAGTTCAGAGAGGCCGGGCCTTGGAGGGAGGGTACCTGGGGTACCACCCAGGGCTCCGTGGCTCACTCCGAGACCTTAGTTAGGGTCTCGGATCCTCAGTTCACCTTTCCGTTAAAGAGTTGGCCAAAGAAAATTTTCTGGAGGGAGCATTCTGGCTCTGTTATTTGTGACTCTCTCAGATTGGCAGTTTCTGTATGGTGGATAGATGTTCCAAACATCAGCTCCCTGTGATATGGGTTTAAAATGCCCGGTTAAAAAGATGAGTAAACATCCTCTATCAGGTCTTTTATCAGCTCTTCTGGATCCCAACTGAATAAGCATTAACAATCTGACTTCAGAAATGCAGTTCAGACAGTCATTTATCATAGATGCCTGCCTGGGAACGGGCTGGTCCCCTACCATCGTGTCCACTCCCAAAGGGCCTGGGGCTGAGTCTTTTTTTTTTTTTTTTTTTTGTCTTTTTGAGGCAGGGTCTCTATGCAGTTCAGGCTGACCTTGAGCTCACTTTGTAGCCCAGGCTGGTCTCGAACTCGCAACGATCCTCCTGCCTCAGCCTCCCGAGTGCTGGGATTACAGGCATGAGCCACCACGCCCGGCTCTGAGTCTTATTATTTTTCTACCTGGGCATCTGTTGCAGGACCTGACAAATACTTAGGGGTCATAAAAAGGCTCATAAAACCAAAGACTGCTGGGCAGGTCTCCTGGCTTCTTTCAGAGTCAGGATGCCAGCTGGCTCCAGACCTGTGTGGCTTATGTGTAGACGGAGGCTGCTGGTTTCAGCAAGGAGCCAGAATAGGCCGCTGCCACCTCCTGCCTGCTTCTGTCTCGTCTGAGCGTAGAACCAAAGTGTGTATCCCTGTGATGTGAGAAATCGCGCTAACACCAAAAGCTGAGTTCAGCTTCTCAACCCAAAAGTCTGTGTTCACAGCCACCCCTCTCAGAATGACAGTTTCATCCAGGGAAGGCACCTTCAGCTCAGGAGCAAAACAACATGTGTTCTGGATGAGTCACTGCTCTGTGACCCCAGGCGAGTCCTTTTCCCTAAACAATGCCAGGCTCCTCACCTCTGTCTGGAGGAAGAGGCTTCCAGTCTGAGCAAAGGGCTTGCTCAGGGCTGATGGTCCTTGGTAAGGGGGCCTCGAGGCCTCATTAGGCAAAGACTCGTGGAAACCTCTTCTCCAGAAATGGCTCACTAATGACTAGGATCTGAGTGCTAAACCGGAAACCATGCAAAGCCAGATGGACGTTGATTGCATGCTGACTACAGCAGGCAGTCTGCAGGTGGTGGGTGCATTTAGAGTTGGATCTGGAAAGGAGTGGCCCCAGGACCCCATATGCAGGGCAGGGCGTTGGGAATGTCCCTGAAGGAAGCTAGGAAGATTGGTAGAAGAGGTGGGGCTCCAGGCATTTGGAGACTGCAAGAAGGGCGTTTTAGACAAAGACTTTCAAAGGGACAAGTAAGGTTGGTTGACTGGTGAGGGTTTGTAGGTGCTGCGAAGAAGAGGACCCCAGAGAATCAGCTGGTCAGGGTGGAGGACTCCCCACATAGCCAGGGTCTGGGATGGAGCACTGCAGCACACGCTCACTTACATTCACGCGTTCATTTACAGTACGAAAGGTAGGGCTAGGGCTTCGTGCATGCTAGGCAAGGGCTCTACCACTGAGCTACAGCCCCCAGCCCTCACCCTCACTTAATAATCTCTAAGAAATAATAATCTCTAAGAAAGAATTCTGAGAAGGTGACATGTATTAGTAAAATGTTAGGTGTGTTTATTCCCCAAGGGTCCCACCACCCACTTGGCACACCCAGAAGAGGGCAAGCCAGGACTGCACCTGGCCCTGGGGACATGTGTACAAGTTAGGAAGAATCACACTGTCAAGATGCTTCTGTCCCTGAGGAAATTTTCTCACAAGACAGATCTCACCAGAAAAGGGCATTTTATTGCCATCAGCTCAAAAATTGTCAGAATGAACGCCCAGTTCTCTAGGCCTTAGCCATGAGCAATGTCCCAAGTACCCTCACCCCCTACCCTGAAAGTAGCCCCATGTGACCTGAGGAGCTGCCAGACCCTCTTCAGTAGCCAGTTGCTGCTCTGCCCTGGGTGTTAGTTGCCTGTGGCGGGGCCCACACCTTTGTTTTCCATGACTCCCCTCACCGTGCATCCTGGGCACCCACCATGAGAAAGGGGCTCAGACCTTCTGGTCTGTCGTCAACCGGCTGCCTCTCTCCAGCAACGCCATGCTCTGCTGGAAGTTCTGCCACGTCTTCCACAAACTCCTCCGCGATGGACACCCGAACGTGAGTTCCTGAGGGTACAGGGGAGGCCTTGGAGCCAGAGAAGCATGTGGGGAAGTGACTGCTGGGGCCACAAGGCTGGGGTCCACTGCCACACTGCACCCTTCTCCCGCCCTCTGGGTTACCAGAGAGCTAGGTGCACCTCTCCTGATCGGCCTACCGAGGCCCAGCTAGACTGCTCTCCGGCTGTCCCTTCTGTTCCCTTACAGCTCTCTTCTTCCCTCCCCAGGTTCTGAAGGACTCCCTGAGATACAAAAATGAATTGAGTGACATGAGCAGGATGTGGGTGAGTTTGGAGATGTGTCCGCGGGCCTCAAGGACTATGGGATGGAACAAATTCCTCTCCTGCAGCTTGTTTAGAATTCCTCCCACACGCATCAGGAACGGGCTAAGGATGCCACTAGATAGTAGCACCGTGTCCCCTGTCTTGCTTGAGTGCCTGGAAGCCGCAGAAAAGTTCCAGGCCCTCAAGCCTCTCCTGCCCGTGGAATCACGTGTCTCGAGGCTGTCCAGGCTTAGCAAGGACGTTGCCAGAGTTTTTCCTTGGTGATCACAGGATGCTGAGAGTTGGTGTTTTTAATTATCAATACCAATCCTCCCCGCTCCTTTTTTTCCTAGCTGGGGATATTCAGTGTCCTAGGATGAGTGAGGAGGTATGTGGCAATACTAAAATCTTTCGAAGGGCATGTTCTACACACTCCTAGATCCCTCTGGAGTCTGGTGGCCAAAGGTACATATATGGAGCAGGGATGATCCACACCGTGAAGAACCTCCTGACTGATTGTGGAGAGGCCGTTTTCCACCCACTGGCTGAGAGCCACTACCTCAGCCTTTCCATTGGGTCTTACCTGTATCCAGCACTCACAAATTACCTAGTCCAATCTGGTCATAGGTGGGAACAGGTCCAGAGAGGGAAGGGATTTATCCTGAAATCACAAGGTGTATTATCTGAACAGAGCTGAGACTTGTCCCCGGATCTTCCCTATGAGTTATACAGCTATAGAATTTTCCTAGGATATCATTTTCCATTCTTTAACTTTTTTTTTTTTTTGTAAGACAAGGTCTTACTGTGTAGTTCAGGCTGTCCTTGAACTCACAGCAATACTCCTGCCTCAGCTTCCCCAGTACTGGGAATTATAGGCGTGCACCACTATATCAGGCTATTCTTTTACTTTCAACTCCACAATAGTCTCATCTTTTAGGAATGTTTTACAAGTAGCATTTACCGTGCTGGGGACATAACTCAATGGCACAGCACCTGCCTGGCAAGCACAAGGTCCTGAGTTTGATTCCTGGTATCAAATAAATAAATAAATAGCATTTACTGTAGTTGGATTTTTGTTTTGGTTTGGTTTTTGATATGAGATCTTGCTATGTTACCCAGGTTGGCCACAAGTGGTTTTGTTTTTTGTTTTATTCAAGGTGGCAATCTTTGTCTTTTACCGGGGCATTTGGTCCACTTATATTTATGATAATACAGGATATATTTAAGTTTATATCTTTCATTGGGTTTTTGTTTTTTGGTTTGGTTTGGGGTTCCTTTTTGGTGCTGGGGATTGAACCCCAGGACTCTACCACTAATCTACACCCTCAGCCCGCACATCTTCCATATTATCTTGAGCTTTTCTATTTGTCTTATCTATTTTTATTCTACTCTCATTCTTTGCTTTTTTGGGGTTGATTAGGGTTTTTTTATCATTCTGTTTTTCTCTTCCTTACTTGGGACATTTTTAAAAATCTGTTTTTTAAAATTATCAGTATATTCTTTAATAACAAAACGCTTGCTTGATTTATTGGAGTATAAATTTTGTATCTGTCTGTTTCCTGTAAAACACAAAGACCTTAATATTTTAATAACATTCACTCCCTCAGTTTGTATGTTATTACTGTTATATGTTTCTCTTTTTAAACTGAATGTATTTTATTTTGTACACTTCTTAGACCTTTCACCTGGGCTCATTTTCTGCCTCAATTGTGTTAGAACTTTCTATACTGAGAGTCTGCTAGTGACAGACACGTTTTTTGCTTGTGTGAGAATATCTTTGTTTCAGCCTCATTCATAGAAGATGTCTTCTCTGGTTTAAAATTCTAGGCCAACAGCTATTTCTCTCAGCGCATGAAGAATATTATTCAAGTCATCCTTCCCACTGACTTCCAGCTTCCATTGTTTTCTAGTGAGACTCACCATTGTGCTTTGAAGCTAATGTGTGATTTTTCTCTGGTCATTTTTGCTGCTGTTGTTGCAGTACTGAGGATTGAACCCAAAACTTTCACATTGAGCTGCATTCCCAGTACTTTTTAAAATTCTTGTTGTAAGATAGGGTTTAGCTAAGTTGCCCAGGCTGGGCTCAAATTTGTGATGCTCCTGTCTCAGCATCCCATAGTGCTGGGCTTAGGATTATAGGCATTCAGCACTGTGCCCAGCTAACTATTTTTAGTATTTTTTATCAGTTATGAATAATTCTGATGACACTTCAAATCCTGCCTTTGCACAAGTCCCTTTCTCTTCTGAGACCTTGGTTAGAACTTTGTCACTGATTCTTACCATGTCATTAAACTGCTGTATTGTTTGTTTCTACCAATTTGTCTCTGCTGCAATCTGGGTAATTTCATCAGATCTAGATTTCAACTCACTTACTCCTTCAGCTGGGATGGCCTGTTGTTAAACTTTTTCATAAAGTTTTCAATTTTAGTTAGTGTGTTTTTCATTGCTTTCAGTACTTTTTTTTTTGGCGTGGTATCCTTTAATTTTTATGCCCTAAAAATACTTTGAAACAATCTCCTCTATCTAGATATAATAAGCAAAGTTATTTTATATATCACTTTTTTTTTTTTCCGGTACCGGGAGTCAAACTCACGACGTTGCACTTGCCAGGCAGGTGCTGTGCCGCTGAGCTAAATCCCCAGCCCCCTATATATCACTTTTTTTTGTTTTTTGTTTTGTTTTCGTTAGGTGTTTATGAATCAGGGTCTTGTTGTGTAGTTCAGGCTGGCCTTGAACTTACTTATGTAGCCCAGGCTGACCTCAGACTCAGGACAATCTTCCTGCCTCAGCCTCCTGGGTGCTGAGATTACAGGCATGAGACACCATGCCTGGCTCATATATCTCTTTGTATAATTCTGTTATCAGAAGTCTTTAGAGATCTGTTTCTGCCGCCTGGCATTTCTGGTGAATTTTACTCATGCATTGTATTTTCCTTTTGTGCTTAGTTATTTTTTACTGTGAGATACTTGCTTTCCTTGAGATTTTAGTTGTGGAAATTCTTTGAAGTCTGTAACAAAGGCAGGTTCCTCCAGAGAGACTTGGTATTTGCTTCTATTAAGATCACTCTAAATTCTCAGCTGGAGGTTTTATGAATTCTGGGAAGATCCCCTTGAGACCTGGCTCATAGGTCCAATTCTCAGGAGCATATTTTCTTGCTCTCTGATCATAAGAACATTCTAAGACCATAGATTTTTCTCCATAGTGCTCAGGGAGGAATTGCTCCATGCAGGAGTACCGGGGGTGTGTGTACACGCACGTGCATACATGTGTGATTTTTCAGTTGACCCTCACTTTCCTTGTACCCAGGAGCAGTCTCCCAACCCTTTCACTCAATTCCTCCACCCAGGCAGACCAGAGCCCTACTTTCTGTTCACCATCTGGCCCTTGAGACCCAGAAAACCTATTATTTCTTGAGTAGTTTTCAGTAGGAAAGTCAACCCAAGTTCCTAGCCTGCCTTGTTATTCAAGCTAGGATCCTTTATGCCTTTCCTCCAAGGCAGTTCTGTCTTAGTCACTTTCTGACACAATTTCCAACACCCACAACTTAAAGGCGGAGGGATTTATTTTGGTTCACCGTTTTTAGAGGTTTCAGTTGACAGTCAGCTGGTTCCAAGGCAGGAAGGCATGGCAGAGAGGCACAGCAGGGGAAAAGCTGCTTCTACCATGGCAGCCAGGAAGCAGAGAGCTAAGAGGCACGAGGAAGTGGGGGCTAACCCCTTCCAGGTCACGCCGCTAGGGACCCACCTCTTCCGACCAGGCCTCACCTCCTGACATGACATTTAGCGACATCACAAAACCCATGCCTACGAGTGCCTGGGACTCTTGGGCAACATCTAGATATAAACCACAACTACTAGCTCTCACTTTGGATTAAGAGTCTCTGAAAATCAGAGCCTTTCTTTGTTTTTCTTTTGGTAATGGGGGTTGAATCCAGGGCCTTTGCACTGAGCTACATCTCTAGCTCTTTTTTAATTTTTTTGAGACAAGGTCTCACTACATTGCTCAGGCTGGCCTCAAACCTGCAGGCCCCCTGCCTCAGCCTCCCAGAGTTCCGGGGTTGCAGACTTGGGCCACCACACTCCACTGTCCTTACTGTCATCCTTGTGCATTTTCATGTTATAATTGTCTTTTCACTTTCCAGCAATTTCTAATTTTTCTAGAATGAATAAGTATTACATAAAAATTAATAAAATGTGACTTGTTCCTAGAAAATTAATATGTTCTGAAAGCACTGGCAGTGGCAGTGTTGATGTTTCGCCTCCCTCCTCTCCCTCGGCGCCCTTTCCGAAGTGCGCTAGTCTGCCCTAGAGGGCCTGGCTCATTTAAAAGAGAGTGTAGAAGGCAGAACTCTCCTGGGAACCCCCATCCCCACTTTTTCGTAGATAACTGGGAGTTGCCAGCATCACTCTGCTACTTTGTCCCCTCCCGTGGGAAGGCTCAGGGAGGCTTCGTGTTTCAGCCCCACCCCATGGACTGTTAAAGATGCTCTTTGTCTCTGGAGTCTGGCTGAAGACTTCTTCTTTTACTGTGCTTAGGCAGAGGACAAGAAATAGCCCCTCGCTGGACTATGAGTGATCAGGGTGGAGACTAAAATTCCTAAATAAAAAGTCTTGTCCAGAATTGACCGTACGGAAGTCCTTGTGTTGTATGCAGGATTGTACCGCAAGCCAGGCATAGTGGTGCTGCTGTTGTCCCAGCACTCAGGAGTCTAAAGCAGGGGATTGCGTGAGCCTTGGAGCTCAAGGCCAACCTTGCAACGTAGCAAGACCCAGTCTCCAGGAAAAAGGACTGAATTGTAAGAAAACGTTCACTGTGTTGGATGGACATGATCAGTACACAGAGTATGCATGGATGGAAATACTACAATTTTTATTATAGTTATTAACTATACATAATAAAAATTTTTAATGTTCATTGAAATGTAATTTATAACAACAATATTTTCAGCTCATTTAAATTGGCTTCACCTACTTTTGAATGTATTGAATCAGTTCTGTAAATTATGGTATATGCTTGAAAGGTACTGGGCAGCCATAAAAATGATAATATACAGAAGCAGGCAGGATGGTGCCTGCCCATAGTCCCAGCTTCTCAGGAGGATGAGGCTGGAGGATCACTGAACCCACAAATTTGAGACCTACATGGGCAACATGGAGAGCTCCCATCTCAAAAGAAAAACATAGAAGAAAGATAGAAAAAACACGGTAGTATATTAGGTGAAAAACATAAATTGATTCCAGTTTTATATATAAGAATAAAGGTGATGCCCTAAGGATTTTTGGGTACTGAGATCATGGTGTGTGATACTATAACAATGGACCCGTGTCATGTTTTGTCAGAACCTATAGCATGTACAGCACAGAGAGTGAACCCTACTGTGAACTTGGACTTGGACTTGGGGTGATAGTGACTTGTCATTGTAGATTGATCACAGAGACAAGTGTACCTCTCTGCTGAGGACCATGAATAGTAGGGGAGGTGCTTTGTGTTGCTGGCACAGGGTATAAGGAACTCCATACAGTCTACTCAGTTTTGCTCTGTACCTAAAAGTGCTCTTAAAATTGAAAAAAATAAAAAGGAAGTTTATACCCAGTAGGGTTAGCCATGATGATATTTAGCAGCATAATAATGTGATATGTTTGTATATGTGCTTTTCTGTATTTTCCAAATTTTCAACCTCTTTCTTTCTTCCTTTATTTCTTTCTTTCTTATTCTCCTCCTTCTCCTCCTCCTCCTCATTCTCCTCCTTCTCCTCCTCCTCATTCTTCTCCTTCTCCTTCTCCTCCTGTTCCTCCTTCTCCTGCTTCTCCTTCTCCTTCTCCTCCTTCTCCTTCTCCGCCTTCTCCTGCTCCTGCTCCTCCTTCTCCTTCTCCTGCTCCTCCTTTTCCTTCTTCTCCTGCTCCTCCTCCTTCTCCTCCTCCACCTCCTTCTCCTCCTCCACCTTCTCCTTTTTCTCTTCCTCCTCTTCTTCCTCCTCCTCCTCTTCCTCCTCCTCCTCCTTCTTCTTCTCCTTCTCCTTCTCCTTCTCCTTCTCCTTCTCCTTCTCCTTCTCCTTCTCCTTCTCCTTCTCCTTCTTGTTTTTTTTTTCTTTTGTGGCATGGAAGATTGAACCCAGGGCCCTACATTGAACCATATCCCCAGCCCTATTTTTACATTTTAAATTTTTTATTCTGAGACAAGTTCTCTCTAAGTCACTAAGTTGCTTGGCCTGGGCTCAAACTTGAGAGCCTCCTGCCTCAGCCTCCCTGAGTGCTGGGGTGACGGATGTACACTACCATGCCTGGATGTTATTTTCACACAAAAAGATAGTTCTCTACACAAGAAACCCTGAGTGCAGGTCCCTCACCCCAGGTGTCCTCAGTGGTGACACTGCTTTCTTTCCTCTGTCTCTGACAGGGCCACCTGAGCGAAGGGTACGGACAGCTCTGCAGTATCTACCTCAAACTGCTGAGAACGAAGATGGAGTACCACACCAAAGTGAGTCCCTGCGCCCCTTGGGGAGGGTGCACCACACACGCCAGCCATGTGGGAGATAGTAGGGCAGCCACAGCCAGGCCCCCAGAGACACACCAAGGGGACAGACGGGGCTCTGACCATTGTGCTCTGACCCTCCCATTCCCCTTTCACAATAGAGGAGCCGTGTCCACCAGGTTGCCTTGGGGGTCGCGTTGGTGACGCCCTCCTTCCTCTCTAATAAAAACAGCTCCCAGTGAATACCCACGTCAACCTGCTTTTAATCATTGTCTGACTTGGTCAGTGTTTCTGCCTCCCTCAGTGCAGGGAAACTGTGCTGGGGACCAGAGGACATAAGCTAAGGAACCAGGGTCTGCTCCGAGAGCTGCACAGGGCCGGGGGAGAGGGGCTCACACTCATCGAGGCCTATAGCAGCGTGAGGTCTCGGGGTCGGGAAGGGCCAGTCCCTGTGACCTCAGGCCAGGTGCGAGTCAGGCGGAGCAGGGGGCCACCCTGTGGGGACAGGGCAGCTTGGGTTCGGGAGGAAATGGAGAAGGGAAGAGACTGTGGAAATCCACGCACCTGTGTCTTTATCTCTGCTGCCTGTGATGAATTTGAAGGGCAGCTTTGACTCGTCGACACTGTTGTCCCCTGTTAAACGTCACCTCACAGCAGCCATGTGGCATAGGTGTCATGCCTTGGAAAACGCCATTTGGAGAGTGGTTGGGCCCCGGGCCCCGGGCCCCCTCATCCAGCTGCTCCGAGGTGGAGCACAGGTTCACACCCAGGCCTGTTGGACACCACAGACATCCTGTGCCCCATGGCTGCCCTCCTCGCCCTCCATATATATCACTGAGTAGGCACCATGGGCCAGAACTAGGGGGCTCAAAGAGAGGCCTTGCCCCCCCCTGGCCTCTAGTCTCCCAGTTTGCCTGGGAGGGAAGGTGGGCGATAGTAGCTGGAGGCGGGCCTCTCCGGCCTGGGCCTGGGCCAGGGTGTCGGAGGCGCAGCTAAGCTCAGGCTTGGAGGGTAGTGGTTACCTGTGCTGCCTGGCGCTTTGCTCCATGGCACAGCCCTCTGGGAAGGAATAGCAGGCCTGAGTGGGTCAGAATACAGGAGCAGAGGTTAAAGATGGAGACGAGCAGGACTGGGGGCCCGAGAGGACAACACAGGTGTCCTGGGCCCTTGTGTCCTCTGTCTGCCTGGCTTCTAGATCACAGCAAATACACAGTCCGGAATGGCTGAGTGAGTGACAGGATGGAGGCACAGGGAGGGGCAGTCCTGGGCACGGAAGCGGGCTGGCCCTTCTCCTCTGATAGCGGAAAGAGGGAGGGAAGCAGACGACTGGAAGCCGGGAAGGGAGTGGACAGCAGGACCTAAGGCCTCGTGCTGAGGGCGGCAGCGCGGGGTGTGACACTGGGTGTGAGTGGAGCTGGTACCGATGGGCAGGGGGACGGGCAAGGGATCCAATGCCGGGACCGTTAAAGAGCACTGTTACAGACTGATGTGACCCCACCCCCGTTCCTGTATTGAAATCCCAGTCCCCAGAGTGGTAGGCTTAGGGGGTTTTAAAGTCACAGGGTCATTTCCCTCCACCTCATGAGGGATGAGCCAGAATGCGACCCTCACCAGGAGCCAGATGTACCAGCACCTTGACCTGGGGCCTCGAGAACTGTGCGAAATCAATGCCTGTATTTAGCCCGAGCTGACAGAGATGGATGCGAAGGCGGGGGAGTGCGAACGAACAGTGACTCCAGCTGTGAGCCCTTCCTCGGGGACATTTGGCAGCTGGTCCTAGGTGCAGAGTGTGGGACAAGCATCCAGGCCCAGCGAGGTTTGGTGGCAGTGTGATGGAAAACGGCTGCTTAGACAGGCGGTGAGGGTGGGGTGGACCAGGACCGGGCCCCCAGCCCTAATGTCTTGATGACGTGAGGAAGCAACCAGCAGGGCGCCAAGGAGGCTGGGAGAAGAGACCGGAAGGGTGAGGCCTGGCTGCTGCGGCAGAGGCAGAGTGAAGGGTGTGATGCAGAGGCCTCGGAGACAGTTCCAGGTGACTGCAGGGTCCCAAATGGCTGTCAGTAGCCAAAGGTACTAGAATTGTAGAGGCAAAGACCGTGACCACAGGGTACAGGAACCGGCTGCCGGAAAGGAAGGTTGTGGCCTGGATGCAGGGACTTGGGTGAGTGCAGCATAGTGACCAGAAGGTGAGCCGTGTCTGTGGCGTAGAGACACGTGGGGACCCGAGAAGAAAGCACACACGGCCACAGCCTTGGTAGGCAGTGCGGTAGAGGATGAACATCCACTCCTGCAAGATGCCACAGCCCCCTTCCACAGGGCAGAAGTGAGGCCAGAGGCTTCCCTGAAATCCTGGGACAGCAGCAAGCTGGGGGAGAGGCTGACCAGCTGGAGAGCCCTGCATGTGGGCGCCTGACACCCAGGCTGGGGGGTGGAGGCTGCCAGCAGCTCCTGGTGGAGGATGGAGCGTTATGGCTGCACTCACAGGATGCAAGGGAACTGGCAGCCAGAATCTGCGGCTTCCTATGACCTGGCCCTTCCCTGCCCATAGAGCAGCTACCAGCTGGGACTTTGTGGTAGGAGGATAGAGGAGGGGATGCCCAAACTTTGGAGCCCCAGCTGTCCACTTCCAAAGGATGGAAAGTGGAGACAAGGTGGGGACAGAGGTAAACTGTCAAAATAGTTCAAGGTTGTGTATATGTGGATGGGTGGGTGTGTGTGGTGCTTGGGATGGAACCCAGGGCCTCGTACCTGCTAAGCAAGCACTCTGCCACTGAGCTGCACTCCCAGCCTGCAGGTCCGGGTTGTAAGGCCCAGCAGGCTTCAGATGCCAACTAGCAGTGAACTGGTGTCTTTGTGTGCCTTGCATAGGCAGGTGAGCTCGTGGCTGACATTGCACAGATTAACCGCAAAGAAGTCACCTTGCCCACGGTGCCCACACCTGCAGAGACGCTGGATCTTGCTAATCTCTCCCTCGGGAAATACTTCACAGAGCAATGCCAGCCTCACCAAGGCGCGAGTTCCTCCTTTGCACCCCCTGCCTGCAGCTCCAAGCCCCTGTGGGCCCTTGCACCCAGTTCAGCCCACTGTTTCCCTCTGCACCCAGAAGCCACCCAGGTTTTTTACTCAGAGTGACCCAAGTCCATACTGCAGCTCCTGGCGAACCTGACAACCCAGTCCCAGGGTCCTCAGGTCCCAGATGAGAACAACTTCCTGCCTGTGGACAGGAAGGGAAGAGGGTGCCTAGCAGTTGTACGGTGTCCCCTGTCTCTTGCACCGGCCCTCCCAGTCCTGCTCCCCACTGCGCTGCCACAAGCAAGCTTCCTGGCCCTAGCTCCCACTCTCCCGCCTGGTCAGGGTCGCCCAGAGGCTGGTGAAAACCCATCAGTGTGGCCTTCCCTAGAATCGCAGAGGCAATGGGTCTGCTTGGGGCCTGGGAGTTTACATTGCTAACATTCCTTGGGGACACACTTGACAAACCACAGCGGAAGCTTGGGTGGAATAAGGAAAAATGATGGCCTCCTACTGCCTACCTCCCACATCTCGGGGTTTCTGTCTGTGTCTGCTCTGGAGTTTGGAAACCGCCTTGATGGACTGGCCGCCCATCCGTGGCCTGTGCCCTTGTCCCGTGGCTCCATCCACTCCTGATGAACCACGTGGACAAAGAAGGCACGATGTAATACTCCACAATTATCCCTCTCAACTTCGGGGGTGAATTATATGACCTTCCTTGGCTTCTAATTTGTTTCACTGTGTTTTGTAAAAGCTAAAAAGAGAATGGGTGTCCCATTCTTGAACTTAGCAGCATCTTCAAGAAAGGGGAGAGGACAGTGGGGAACTTGGGTAGGAAGTGGAGCGGACCAGGGATGAATCGATGTGCACTGCCGTGTGAACAAGAGATGGCTGGCAGGCAACCACTGCTCCCCGTGGGGTTCACTGTACCATGGAGAGACTGCAAGGAGGAGCCCTCTCCTGGCCCGGAGGGGTGACGCAGAGCGGGTGTTACTTGCTGTGTGAGGTCATGTGGCCTGGCCCTACCTGCCTGAGAAGAGTGTAGACGCCCTTAGGTGTATCTGCTGCACACGCTCGGGGTAGACAGCTAGCTACACTGATTCTGCTGGGCTCCAGGGAGACTCCTCATGTGCCCTGCTCTGACTTTTCTCTGCCCCCTTCCAGAATCCCAGGTTCCCAGGCAACCTTCAGATGAGTGACCGGCAGCTGGACGAGGCTGGGGAAAGTGACGTTAACAACTTGTAAGTAGTGACCCGCACGCTCTGGACCCGGTGGGAAGAAACTTACGATTTTGTCACTTCCTGTTAGTGCCATAGAGGGAGGGCCTGATGGCTGGGGCAGAGGCTGGGTACAGACAAAACCCTCTCGGTGACATGGCCATGGGGCACTTACTGCTGATGCCACATCCAGAGCCTCTACCTGGCCGTGTCACACCCCGGGCTTCCCTCCGTGTCACTCTCCACTCCCGACTGAACACGGGTGCCCATCCTCCATTACGTTTGCCATGTCACTGTGGATTCTATCCTGCCTGGTCTTCTAGTGGCCTCCATACCCACAAGGTTGGGAACTGACCATTGGAGCTAGGATGTGCGTGTGTGCACGTGTACTTGTGCTCAAACGTGTGCCGTGGGGGACGGAGCAGGAGTACAGGGTGTGGGGAGGTCGTCCAGGCAGGGGAGAGGCTAGTGGGGCGGGGCTTGGTGGTAGAGGAAGCAGCATGCGGGAGGTCCTGGGTCTGATTACCAGCAACACACAAACGCATCCGCCTGCCTTGGGCCCGTGGGACTGATGCTCTCTCCTCCGTCCCAGCTTCCAGCTGACAGTGGAGATGTTTGACTACCTGGAGTGTGAACTGAACCTCTTCCAAACTGGTGAGTCTCTTCCCTCCCGTCGCCTGGTCCCAGCTGGGCTCCCCGCTTGGCGCAGCTGGCGTGGCCCTCACTCACCCCGCCGCCCGTGTGCACACGAGCAAGGCTGTTCATACCTGTCTTTGCTGCCTCGTTCCTCATGCCTGGAGGAGCTGAAGCTCTTACATGTTTTCAAAGCTGGCAGTTTTGTATCAGACAGAAAGGTCCTGCAGGCCTTCCTCCTGAGGCCTGGGTCTCTGAAATCCTTCAGATAGGTCTCGCTTCTCTGACAGCTGCAGTGTGTGGCCACAGACCAGGCTGTCCTTTGCCTCCTTCTTATCTCGTCAGAGCGGGACTGTTCCTCAGGTTGCTGCTCAGAATGCGTGGCTTGTCTGCTGCTCAGTTGACAGCCAGATCCTCAGGGGCAGCCCGTGAAGCCCTGCTTGGCTGGCAGAGGCAGCTGCCCCCCTGCCAGGCTCCCTTCTGCTGAGGCTTCAGGTGCTTCCTGACCCTGAACTACTAACACTTCCTGGACAAGCCTTGGCCGCTGCCTTTTCTGCAGTGTCTCTCTTCCCTCACCTTCCAGCTAGGCTCTGCTTCTTTCCCTGAGGGACATAGTAGCCCAAGTCCTAAGATTCTCAGTGTTTCAAGACAAGGGTGTGAGTAGAGGAGCGAGTGGCACGCTGTGAGCATTCTCGCACACGCTGGGCGACCTCTGGTTTGTGTGTGTAATGCCTAATCTTGGGCTTGGGCTCTCTTGTTCTGAATGGCAGTTTCCTTGAGTGTGTTCAGCCATGCAGCAAAAGCCTCCTGCGAGTGTGTCCTGTTGCAGCCCTGGCCAAGGTCTGTGACAGTGCAGAATTGCAAAGTATTGGTCAGTACTTTGACCAATCAGTTCAGCACAGAATATGGGTGGAGAAACACCAGAAACAGTGGAAAATCATGATTTGTGGCAAAAAGAAGATAGCAGGCTGATAGCAATGTATTTGAGCAGAGCCTTATAGACAAGTCAGTAAATATGCTGGGTGCAGTGGTTCACACCTGTAACCCCAGTACTCGTGAGGCTGAGGCAGGAGGATTGCCATGAATGCAAGGCTAACTTGGGCTAGCTAGGCCGGTCCTGAACTACCTAATGAGACCCTATTTTTTAAAAAAAGTCAATAAATATGTAATAATAAAATACAGATTTTATGTGGAATGGGCTCAGTCCTGTGGCATTCCCCATCAGGTGAGAGAAGTGGTATAGATGTATCCATCGTTCTTTTTAATGTATTGGAAGTACTTGCATAAAAGAATCTGAACAGAGGTAGGCACAGAGCTAAAGGCAGTGCATGCCTTTAATCCTAGCACTTGGGAGGCTGAGACAGGAGAATCCTAAGTTTGAGTCCCACGTGGGTAACTAAGCACAGACCTTGTCTCACAATACTGTAAAAGAATAAACAGAATAAAAATACTGTAAAACAATAAAAGGAGAATAAAAGTACAAAGGCCCTGGGTTTAATCCCCAATACCTCTTAAAAAGAAAGCATGAGGCTGGGGTTGTAGGCTGACCACAGATGGCCACCCAACTTACAATGGGTGGACGGACGTAGGGCCTTCCAGCTTTGGAGACAGTATGAAGATCCCAGTGCAGCCAGCCTGTTTTCACCTTCTGTCCTCACTGTTGAGTGCATTACAGGAGCTAGTCAGCGTTTTACGTAAAATAAGCTTTGCATGAAGTGGTTTTGCCCAACTGTAATGTAAAAGTGTCCCACACACATGCAGAGCTGGGATGCCCCGTGGCTTACATGTATTACATGCAGATGTTTTTATCACTTTATTTTATTTATAAAGGATTTAACTGGGACACAACCCCACCCTAAGTTGAGGAACATCTGTGTTTAAGTTGATTATAGTTAAATAACTCATAAAAGTCAAATCCTAGCTGGGCAGAGTGGCATACACCTATAATCCCAACTATTCAGGAGGCTGAGGCTGGATGATCATAAGTTAAGGGCCATCATGGGAAACTTAGCAAGTCTTCATCTGAGGAAAAAAAATCAAAAGGGTCGGGGGTATTGTGTAGCTCAGTGGTAGAGCACTTGCCTAGCATGTGTGAGGATCTGAATTCAGTCCTAGTGCCTGGAGAAAAAGTCAGGTCATCAGTCGCACTGGCCATAATTCAGGCAGACGCATACTGAGAACATTTCCATCATCGCAGGAATCTGTCTGGGGGATTCTGATGTGTGCCGAAGCTTGACAGCTGCTGAGCTAGCGAATAGTCTCAAGCCCTGGTTGCATATTCAAATCACCAAGGAGTCTTTGGAAAACTACCAAGGCCTCAGCCCTACCCCCAACCAATGCAAACACAGTGCAAATAGGAGCTGCAGGGGTTTTGCTGTGTGCTCACAAGTGGTCCTAAGGAACCTCGAAGCCAGAAAGTTCCCATTCTCATTGGGCTCACCAGACCCTCGGAGGCATGTGCTCCTGTGACCACAGGCCCAGAGAGGTTGGGTGACTACAGCAGCCACCCTGCTGTAGATGGTGCTGGTTGCCAAGGGACATCCTGGGAAGGCTTTGGGAAAGCGGCGGGCAGCCCAGGAGATGGAACCTGCTGTGGTTCCTTGCCAGCGTGGAGCCTGAGGAAGCCAGGACACATGGATGGCTGCCTTGCAGTGACAGCTGGTCTTAATTTGTCTTAAGAAGAAAAGCTGCCTTTTAATTAGAACCGTTTGGGATTTTTTTTTTTTTTTAAGCTGCCAGACTAACCCTGTTACAGGGAGGCTGGGGAGACAGAGCACATGCGACGCTGGGCTTCCCTCCGGCAGCTCCGCCCACAAGGGGAACCTCAGAGAAAGTTGTGTCATTGCCTGCCATGAGCAGAGTCCCTGGAGACAGTGGACAGCTGGTGCAAGAAGGAAAATCAGCCTGGCCAGGCATGAGCTGAGGGTCTGCAGTCAGGCGTCCACTTGCTGGGTGCAGGGACTCTGGCAGGGGCTGACTGTAAAGGAATTGCAGGAGCAGCAGGAGAGTAAAAAGCAACATTTCTCCTGACAGCTCCCCCAGGACCCCAGTCAGCCTTAGAACCCAGTAGGTCAGCTCCGGAGCGCTTTTCCTAGGCCCTCCTGGGTTCTCCATTGTCCCCCAGGGCTCCTGCATGTGTCTCCCGATTTCTGTGTCCTGAGAACCAAGTGGCAAGTCACAGCTGAATAATTCCCTTTCTTCTCTGATGGCTGTCTGACACTCTCCCCACATAGGAACTAGTATGATTGCCAGATTTGGTGCTTCCAAAGTGCAAGGGTACATTCATGCATCGGACAGCATTCATGCACGGATTCGAAACAGGCAAAATGGACTCTGGGTCAGTAAACCAGCGTCAGTCAGCAGTATTCCAAAGCAAACCAGATTGGCTAGCTCCTTAGCTCCTTCCCACCCTGAGTCAGGCTCCCGATAGAACTGGGGGCTGTCCTTGTACAGCAACCCACCTCTCCTTAGATCAGAAACTCTGAGCAATGTGTTGGGTCCAAGGATGGAGACTTAGAAAGCTTCTCAGAGACAGGACGGAAGGGAATCTCCCAGAATAGTTGCTCTCCCAGGTTGCGAGCAAAGCTCCTTCCTGGGCTGTCGCGTGGGCTCTGCACAGGGTGGAACCTCGCTCGCCTGTTCATGGCATGCCAAGCATCTGGCCCTTCATTAGCAGAGGCACTAGATCAAACCATTTATCTCAGTGCGCCACTCTCTTGGCTTTGACTGCCTTCAAGTGACTTAGGTTCCATTTCTTTTTTTTTTTTTTTTTTTGTCTTTTTGAGACCAGGTCTCACTCTGCAGTTCAGGTGGGGCTTGAGCTCACTTTGTAGCCCAGGCTGGTCTTGAACTCGCAATGATCCTCCTACATCAGCCTCCCTAGTGCTGGGATTGCAGGTGTGTGCCACCATGCCCAGCATTAGGTTCCATTTCTACGCCTGTATAGTGAGGAGACCTTTCCTGTCTCAGGAGGGTCGTAATGGTTAAATGACTTAGACGAGATGATGCCTGCACGGATGTGTGCACCCAGTGTATGCTGGGCCCCCACCTTTGCAGAGCCCCCTATAATTGCCTTGTGCTATTGTTTCTCCCCCTTTTGTTTCCCAGTGTTCAACTCCTTGGACATGTCCCGCTCTGTGTCAGTGACAACAGCCGGGCAGTGCCGCCTCGCCCCGTTGATCCAGGTCATCCTGGACTGCAGCCATCTCTATGACTACACTGTCAAGCTTCTCTTCAAACTCCACTCCTGTGAGTACGCAGGCTGCAGCCACTTCGTGCGCCCTGGGCTGTGGGGGGCATCGCAGCCTGAAGATGCCCCTGGGGCGGTGCACCCCCTTTCAGGGCCCTGGGCTTTCCGCTTCTGATACAAAAGGCGCTGGAGCTCCTGGCCATTGTGAGAGCAGGGCCCAAGCTTTGGCATCTATAGGCCGGTCCTCTCTCCTCCTCCAGCTCTAGCATGCCACCATTCCTCAAGGCTATCTTGTGTTCCAGAACCCATGTGAAAGCCTGGCTAGACCTGAGTGAGCGAAGGCAGCAATCTCCAAACTGTCAGCACCATCCCTTTATAGGGATGGAGTTTGATGCAGAAATAGGAAATGTGGAGCTGCTCAAGTAAATGGAGGGCTGACCCTGCCTCACAGCAGGTCCCTAATGATCGTAGAGAGCTTTCTATAGTTTTATAGACTTCCTGTTTAAAATGATGTGTCTGGGCTACACTCGCTGCTTTAGGAAGTCTCTGGTGGGATCTGTATCACTAATGTACATCGCCATATAAATCTGATAGGCCGCACTCCAAGGCAGCCACCATGAAGGGTATACTCAAGCGGAGATAGGCATGATGGAAAACCAGGAAAAACCAAGGCTTGGATGGATACAGCTGAGGGTCTGCAGTACAGAAGGGACTCAGCTGCGCTTTGCAAGTGTGGGGCAAGGGTTACTCCACAGCTGTGGTCACTGGCGAGTGATGAATCGGGGCGTCTGATGAGACAAGGGGAGCAGCAGCTAATGGACCCAGCCAGGAAGATTGGGGTTTGCTATTTAGGGGTTAGAGAGGCTTTGGAGCAGTGAATGTGCCTGGAGGGAGTGGAGAGGTGGGCCACATCCCAGGAGAAGGGAAACGGTTTCTGCGATGCTACAGAATGTAGCCATGCAGCAGAACGGCGCTAGTTTCCTGCAAGGTGGTGGCTTTTTCGAAGAGGCAAGTAATTATTGAAATTATTTAAAGGCTTCTCTACAAGCACAGCAGTCCATGAGACCCACACTGCTGGCCTCTGGGCAGGGGAACTGTGCAGCCGGGAGAGGGTAGGGAGCCCCAGACAGTACAGGGTACGTGTCCCTTATCCAAAGTGCTTGGGGTCCAGAGGGTTTGGAATTTCTCGGAGTTTAGAATGTTTGCACAGACTTTCCTGGTTTGATATCCTTAATCCAAAAATCCAAAGGCTTAGAAAGGTGTGGGTGTCAGAGCAGTTGGATTTCTGATTTTCAGATTAGGGATTCTCAAGCTGTATACCCATCTCTAGAAATAAACATGTTTGTTTCAGGTGTACAGAAGAGTTCTAAAACAATACAGAGAACTCCATTCCCCCAATACCCAGTTCCCTCTCTTGTCCTTTTTTTTTTTGGTTTGTCTTTTGAGGGGTTCTCTTTTTTGAGACAGGGTCTCACTATGTAGTTGAAGCTGGCCTTGAACTCACTGTTAGGCCAGGCTGGACTTGAACTCATAGCGATCCTCCTGCTTCAGCCTCCTGAGTGCCGAGATTACAGGTGTGCGCCACCACACCCAGCTTGTTCATATTTTAATATGGTATATTTGTCACAACTAATGAACTAGTAGTGCGTCTGTTCTTTATTCAGATTTTCAGTTTGTTTGTTTTTAATTATCAATGTTTCCACAGTTTTTATCCTTTTTCTGTCCTGGGATCCCATCCCAGGATACCACACAACATTTAGTCATTTTGTCTTTTAGAGTATAACATTTTCTTAGATTTTCCTTGTTGTTGATGAAGGTTCTGAGTATTGGTCAGATTTTTCTGTAGAATATCCCTCAATTCTGTTTTTTCAGATATTTTTCTCACGATGTGACCATGGTTAAAGATTCTTATCCCAGAGATAAAGCGCCATTTTAGTGTACCGTCCACCTCTACCCCATGCTCTTACCCTACAACCTCGGTACTAGACCTCGGGGCAACTCCTGGCCAGAGGAGGCCACAGGCCCACAACAGCTGGCCCCCTCTGCAGCCCCGCCGTGGTTTGCTGGCCCTCTGGTCCTCCTGGCTCACAGTCCTTCCAATTTCCCCCAGGTCTCCCAGCCGACACCCTGCAAGGCCACCGGGACCGCTTCATGGAGCAGTTCACAAAGTAAGTGGCTCGAGCGGGAACGAGGGCATATAAACACGCTGTAGGATCAGTTAATCCACACGAGGCCATGTGCCTTGAAATCCTTAGGGGTGGCAATGTCTATATTTTAAGGTGATGATAGGACAGGAAATGGCTAGGACAACAGTAAACCTACCAGTGGCTGGGAAGTTACTGGGTCTCAAAGAAATCCCATAGCAGGATATAGGAGAGATGTCACCTGTCACTGTCACCTGCTTTATGTTAGGACATCCTCTTTGTGTCCTCTTCCTGTGTGTCCTGGCCTGATTCCATCTGCATGCCAACAGCTCCCAAGTATGTATCTGAGGCTCCACCTTCTCAGTTGTAGTCTCCTGTACCCATTTTGATGCCTGTACCCCAGATTTACATCCAAAACTGAACTTCAGGTGTTCCCGGTGAACCATTTCCTCCCAGTCTTTTCTGTCTCAGTAAATGCTGCCGTCAGCCATTTAGGTCAGAGATCGGAGGCCCCGATTCACGCCCCTTGTCAGGTCCCTCCACAGATTCAATCGATGCCCTGTAAGTGCATCTTGCTCCGTCCAGGTCTCCATCTTTCAGCTACCACTGCTGCCTGCCAGGGCTCCCCGGTGCTTCCTGTCCCCTCCTCTGCAGTGCTCTTCCAGCCCGGCCACTTTTTGGTCACCTTTTGTCACCCCAGAAAGGCACTCTCAGGTCCCCTTCGTCAAGTCACATTTTTTTTCACTGTCTCCTGTTCCTCCAGTTCCACCCTACCTCATATCCTCAAGCACCCTGTTTGTTTCCCTCACAAGTTCTTATTTTCATTTGACCATTTTATCCATTACTATATCCATAGCATCTGACAAACAGCAGGCAGTGAAGCGTACGTACAGCGCCTGGTAAACCCTGGGATGAATCATGTGCTAATCAGTCAGCTCTGTAGTCTAGGAGACTGAGCTTGTCTGGCTGAGGAGTGAATGGTGCTGGTGCATTCGAGGGGAGACAGGAGTGACCAGATGAGAAGTATGGCTCCTGCCTAGATGTCCCAAGAAGAGGTAGGAATGGAGCTGGGAGCTGCAGGGGCCATCGTGACATGGCACTAGCGATAGATGATGACGTTCTGGTTTCTCCTGTTAATTTCTTCATTCCTGACCACGACTCCTCAACCCTGAGCTTTCACTCTTGCTGGTTCCCCAGAGAACGCAGCAGCTCGGCGTTGAACAAGCCTCCCATCTGCCTCGTTCCACTGGGAAAGCCTGGTACATAGTCGATAATAAATGACTTACTAAATCCTAGGAGACAGGCCCTGGGGCTGATTTCCTGGAATGTGAAATTCCGGTAGCTTGCAAAAGCAGTAGAGCTTATTACTGTTGGCTTCCGCCCAGGGAGACGGGATGTGTGGTCAGCTGGTTTTCTTCCCTTTAGTTTTTTCTAGCATATGAAAACATCTCCTGTGAATAGCTGCCTAGCTCTTTCTTCCCCACAGAAGTGGCTGCTCTCTGAGGCCTCACTGTCCTTGAATTGAGAGAAAGCAGCAGTGACATCCTGGGGACATAGCTAAGTCTTGATCTTGGGATCTGAAAGGGTGTAATGAGGTCCCCAGGGCTAAGCTGGAGAAAAGTCTGTGCTGTTACTAGGTAGTTGCTGCTACTGGGATCCGTAGTCCTCTTCATGTCTCGGCTCTCACATTTGTTGGTCTTTAGTGTTTTGATTCAAAAGACAGATCTGGGAATGAGAAGAAAAGTGTGACTTGGGGGGCTGGGGGTAATATGTGTCAGTAGGAGAGAATTTACCCAGCATACTTGAGGTCCTGGATCCAGTATCCAACACCAAAAAAAAAAAGTTGATTTCTGCATGTCCATATTCATCTAAGATTAGAGCTCGATGTAGACAGTTCATGCTTCCCTAACAAGTGTGTACAGAGCAACTCCTCTATGCCTGGCTCTTTGGTAGGTAGAGATCTGCAGGGCTCAGCTTCTGCTCTCTAGAAACTTCTGGTCTAATGGGGAGATAGTGTGTAGCTTCAAAGCCAGATGGATTCCTTGAGAAGAGCTCTACCTTGGTAATTATGCTCCCTTCCCTGAGAAGGTCGATTTCTTTCAGTGTTACGCTAAGCCAGGCTTGCGGAGGAAGACAAGTCTGCCAGCCACGGGCATGTGTTCCACGGCAGTGAGGCATTTGTTTCAGGATCATGAGTTACTCTTTCCTCACCGCCGGGTAACAGGACTGGCTATAGATGACCCTAGTCTATAACATCATAATTGAATTCTGGCACCATGGAGGACATCTCCTTGACACCTGTAACTTTAGGGTGGCAAAGCTAGGGGAGGGGTTGTCCCCTCCTTGGGGCTGCTGATAACACCCGGTCCTTCTACACCCACAGGCTGAAGGATCTGTTCCTCCGCTCCAGCAACCTACAGTACTTCAAGCGGCTCATTCAGATCCCCCAGCTGCCTGAGGTGAGTGTGTGTGGCCACAACCGGGCACTGCAAGGTCTCCGGCTCCTCTCTTGAAGGCTGGTGGGGTTTGGCAGGTGGGCACTGGCTCAGGCTGTGTCCCCTCTTCAGAACCCACCCAACTTCCTGCGAGCCTCAGCCCTGTCGGAACACATCAGCCCTGTGGTGGTCATCCCGGTGGAGGCCTCGTCCCCTGACAGCGAGCCGGTCTTGGAGAAGGATGACCTCATGGACATGGATGCCTCCCAGCAGGTGAGAACCCTCAGGAGAGACATGTGCCCTTCCCATTGCCCAAGAGCAGGGAAGAGGATGCTCGAGGCCTAGGCCAGGTGCACTGACATCAACCAGGGTCAGCCTCCCCCAGCCCTTTTTTTGTGGGTCTCACTGCAATTGTGTCAGCTGGCCTAGAACTTCTGGGCTTAAATGATCTTCCTGCCTCAGCCTTCCACATAGCTGGGGCTATAGACACACACCTCTGCACCCAGAGTTATTCGGTCTTCGAGTGGAGGGATCACAAATGGGTCTGTACCAAATCAAGAAAAGGACCGTTCTTACGTGGTGCTCCTCTGACCTCTTGTTGAATTTTCTGTGTCTCTGACTTGCTCTCCCGCCTTTCTGGTCCCTGCAGAATTTATTTGATAACAAGTTTGATGACATCTTTGGCAGCTCATTCAGCAGCGATCCCTTCAATTTCAACAGTCAAAACGGTGTGAACAAGGATGAAAAGTGAGTCCAACCTGGGGTCGAGCACATGGTGCAGAGATTAAGTTAATGTGTTCACAACGAGGTCATAATCAAATGTTTCATTGCTGGGCAGCTTGAACTACTGGTAGTACATGTATGACTGTCCCATCAGGTGGGTTTTTATTAATTTGATTAGCAAAAAGACTGATAAAAATGATTGGGGGGCCGGGGCTGTAGCTCAGTGGCACAAGCACCTGCCTGGCAAGCACGAGGTCCTGAGTTTGATCCCCAGTACTAAAAAAAAAGGGATTGGGTGCATTTGTACCACCAGTGGTACAAGCTGGTCTATGGGACAGTCATGCAGGCGCCACTGGTGATTCAAACTGCCAGGAATGTGTTAAGTCACAGTCTCCCTCATAACACTTAACTGTTTGGGGAATTCTTAATACTAAAGAATGTCTTGACCCTCAAATATTAGCCCCTTTAATTCCAGAAGATCAATGACTATGACACACCTGTGGGTTTAAGGTTATGTAACAAGAAACAAATTGTCCCTCAGTATCCAAGGGGGATTGGACCCCAAATACCTTACGTAAAATCAGATTCCACTTGCATAGAATCTGTGCCCATCCCAAATGCTTCAGATCATCCCTAGATAATATCTAACACGATGCCAATGCGATGTACTTAGTTATTATGCTTTATGACATTTTCCCCAAATATTTACAGTCTGCAGTTAGTTGAATCCTCAGATACAGATGTGGATAGTTGTCTGTATAATTTATAGTGTTGAAGAATTGTGTCCAAGTGAGCACTGGCTTTTGACTTCTTCACCCAGTCTCCCAACTCACATTCAGAAGGCGAGGAACAGTGCACAGTGGAAGCAAATGCGTTCTCCTTCTCTCCCCAGGGACCACCTGATCGAGCGGCTGTACAGAGAGATCAGCGGGCTGAGAGCCCAGCTGGAAAGCATGAAGACCGAGGTGTGTGCTGGGAGCTCAGCGCTTCCGTGCATCACCAACACGTGATCAGTTTTAACACTGCAGTTGTATCTTGTAGATAACGTCCGGGCAGGTTAATTAGTAGAAATGCCAAAGCCGAAAGAACCTGTTGGGGTCTTCACTAGAATTCATTTCTATGACACATAGAAAGCAGCTAAGCCTGGCGCTAGTGTTCCTGGTAGCCGTGGTCACTAGCTGCCCAGTAGGCATGCTGCCAAAGGCCAGTTTTTCTCACTTGGCCTTACAGAGAATTTAGTTTGGGACTGTGGTGACTGTTTGTTGCCTCTGGTGCTATATATGATGTGTGATTGAAAACTACAATGAGTTTTAAAAATTTATGGAGTAAAAGACACATTGCTATGAAACCCCTCAGAATACTTCCCCTTGCTTCACACACGCCTATCCCATCATTCTTTCCACTTTCTGAAGCAGTTCTGGAAGTATTCTTTCATGTCTTTAATGGCACTCCCATGGCTGCCTTATGTCCTTAATCAATTAAAAATGGTTCCCTTCCACGGTCATTTTGATTTTGAGGAAGAGCCAGAAGTCACCTGGCGGCAGATCTGGAGAGTCGGGTGGAGGAGGACACACCAACAAGACTTGACGAGCCTGTCTGGGTTAGGCGACACCAGGCAGCTACATTTACCCATAAGGGCACAAGGGAGGACTCCCAGAGCTGTTCCTCAAGGTGGCGAGAATGATGAGATGAGGGAGCTTGGAGCAAGGGAGATTGATGGCAGTGCATCTTTGACTAATAAATTTTTGTAAATTTAAATATTAACCATATATTTTGATTACAACTCAAACATGCCTCTGCCTCAAAGCCCTATCTGGTCAGAGGACTTGACCCTTGGGGCCGGGCCCAGCACCCTCCTTTTTCTCCCCAGCTCACCCAGTGCTACCCGCAGGCCACTGTAGCTAGGACCAGAATTCCTCTGCCACCAGACCCTGTTGGTGATGAGTGGGTGGCTTGAAATAACCAGAAGGCTCAACTCTCATAAGACCTTGGGCGCTGGCTGATTAGGAAAACCTTCATATTTATAGTTGTCCCTTGGTGTCTGTAGGAGACTGGTTCAGGGCACACCACAGATACTCAAAACCCAAGTGTACCCAAGTCCTCTAGCTACTATGGCATGGTGTTGCCTAGAACCTTGACATGTCGTCCCATTGGAGTTTAAAACATCTGTGGCTCACTTATACCTAATATGATGTGGTTGGTTGAGTCCATGGATAAGGAACCCACGGATACCAAGGCCAGCCATCCTTGGTCAGTGCCACTGTCCTGCCCGACACACCCGTCCATGGCTGGCAGTGGCGGACCACTCACCTGGGCCCCTCCCACAGAGCCAGCGGGCCATGCTGCAGCTGAAGGGCCGCGTGAGTGAGCTGGAGGCCGAGCTGGCCGAGCAGCAGCACCTGGGCCGGCAGGCAGCCGATGACTGCGAGTTCCTCAGGGCAGAGCTGGATGAGCTCAAGAAGCAGCGGGAAGACACGGAGAAGGCACAGCGGAGCCTGACGGAGATAGAGAGTGAGAGGGGTTGGGGCTGGACCTGAGGGCAGGGTCCAGGCAGGCTCAGGACAAGGAAGTGCTGCCCGGAGTGCCAGCCCCTGTCGCTGGGCAAAGGGACAGACTTGCGGGCAGCAGGTGCAGAGTCCTGCTGGGCCCACAGAGACAGGAACTACAGAGGTGATGAAGGGGTGGCTGCCCTGGGGCAGGGGACTCCCAAGGAGGAAGGCACTGGGACGAAGGCCTGAGGAGGGTAATCAACCTGGAAGCCGAAAATCCCATTGACAGGAATGTCCTGTACAGAAATACCGAGGAGATACAAATTGGAGGAAGGATTTTAGTCGGGTGAATTCCTTTTGTTGTTGTATTTTAAAGATGACTTCTCAGAGAAGTCTCTAAGTAGGAGTTCAGAGGGAGAAGGGCTGTGTCCTTACTGGAAGGAGGAGGGTAGAGCGTCCCAGCCAGGGGCGCCACCTCACCTCAGTCCTTGACCATGCAGGGAAGGCCCAGGCCAATGAGCAGCGGTATAGCAAGCTCAAGGAGAAGTACAGCGAGCTGGTTCAGAGCCATGCTGACCTGCTGCGGAAGGTAGGACCGCAACCCCTCTCACCGCCCCGCACACCCGACACCACAGGGGAGACAGCAGCTCCCCATTTCTTGGGAACCCCAGCTCCGTAAGCCCCTTTGCCTTCTGTATCTTCAGTTCTCTCTTAGGCGCTAGCCCCTCTTAGGATCACCCACCATCTTGGCTATTTTTGTAAATACTACAGTGCAGTATCTGAATGTCGTGGCCGGATTTCTGGCGTCCCTGTGGGTAGGAAGGTCGTTCATGTGTCTGACTCCTAGGCATTCACGGTCTGAATGGGGTCATTGGCTCTAGAAGGAAGATGTCCTGGGAGCCTGAGAGATACCAACCCAAAATGCTGCTCTTCTTTACAGAATGCAGAGGTGACCAAACAGGTCTCCATGGCCAGGCAAGCCCAGGCGGATTTGGAACGAGAGAAAAAAGAACTTACAGATTCCTTTGAGCGCGTCAGTGACCAGGCCCAGCGGAAGGTGAGTGGAAGGAAAAGCGCTTGGGAGATGGGGTGAAGGTGGTCCTTGAAAGGACTTTTTCGTCTGCTCTGTGGCCCTGAGAGTGTGTGTGAAGACAGCAGCAGGACATGGTCACAGGTGCATGCACAATTTAGTGTAGGAAATAATGACAGAACCCAAGAGGAATGGAAGTCATCAGCCAAAGCTTCCCAAGAGCAAGGCTTGAGGGGCGTTTGAGGAAGGGCAAGCAAGAGAGGAACGCATATTGACAGAGATCTGTAGGCAAGAGGACATCGTTGTGTCGCTGTAGGGCTGGCAGGTGAGGGGACGGTCATGGTGGAGTAAGAGACGTGCCTGAGACTTAGGGGAATGGCCTTTGCACTTTCTGTGACACGAAATAGAAAACACATCCACCTGCTGCAAGTAAACATGTCACCAAGTAATCATTACCCTTCCTGTCTGATGCTTTTGGATAGTTCCTATTCCATTTAAGCCATTTTTTAGTGTTAGCTGTGAATGCTATGGGTGGTAACCCGGTCTTTGGAAAACACCACTTGGAAAAGAAATCAATAAAAGGAATTGTTTCAAAATGGTGAGGCATTGTAGTCAACAATATTGTAGGTGTTGGGCCCCGTGTGGGGGCGCGCGCCTGTAGTCCCAGCACTCAGAAGACTGAGTGAGCAGGATATCCATGAGTTTGAGGCCAGCCGGGGCTGCATCGCAGGATCCTGTCTCAAAAAACAAAACAAAATAGCATTGCAGGTGTTGGGATGCTTAAATCACAGACCCAGTTCAGCCTTAGTCTGTACTGTGGGCTCTCCCTTAACCTCCTTTGCCAGAAGAAAAGTCACTGGTGTAGTCTCGGGCATCGCCTCCTTCCATCCTTTCGTTGGGGTGCAACTTCACACAGCAGAGCACAGAATCTCACATCAGTAGTTGGAGGGACTGTGGCATTTGTTTCTCCCTTCTAACCGTCACCCCGCTCAGAGCCCTCCTTTTCTGCTTTTCCAGACCCAGGAGCAGCAGGAAGTTCTAGAGAGCTTGAAGCAGGAGCTTGCCACCAGCAGGCAGGAGCTGCAGCTCCTCCACAGCAACCTGGAAACTTCTGCCCAGGTGAGCTGGCCCCCGGGCCCTGTCTCAGACATCGGCCTCACCAGCCCCCAGCATCCTGCCCATGGCCAAGTTGGTCCCCCTGTGAGCGCCGGGCAGTGAGAACAGCAGGTGGAGGAAACGTCGCCTGCTGCTCCTTGGCGCCAGGAGGAGGGTTTGGACCTCTGGGAGGGAAGAGTCTGGTTTTCCCAGCGCCTCTTTCCCATGCTCTCTCCATTATAGTCAGAAGCAAAAAGCACAGCGCAGATCACCGAGCTGGAGAAGCAGCGGGACAGCTTGGTGAGCACCGCGGCGTGTCGCGAGGAGGAATTGTCGGCCCTTCGAGAGCAGCTGGAGCACTCCCAGCTCAAGCTGGCCAGTGCACAGGCAAGTGCAGGGCGCTCACTCAGGCTGAGCAACTCAGACTCTCCCGTGGGGCTCAGTGTGCATGGAGGAGGGGCCGCGTGACAGGCCGGGGCCTTCAGCCTGGTTGCCAGGGCCCTGTCTAGGCATAGCTCCTGGTACCAGCCAGTGAGCAAAGGCAAAGCACCTGTTTTCATTTACAAGCAGGGAAGCGCTTGGGATTGTCCACAGGTGTGGACCGTCATCATGATCCCATCCACAGTGGCCCATGGTCCATTGCACGCACCTGTGGCCGATATGCGAGTGTTCTTTTGTGTCTCAGACTCACTGGTTTGTACCTCTTTCGTGACAGCCTGAGCCAAGAGCCCAGGGATGTCAGCAAGGTCCCAAGTGGATGCTGCCTGGGCTCGGGACAGGATCTGGGACAGACTCTCACCTCCCTGGGCTGTTTTAGGAGTCTGTGTGCCAGGTCGCTAAGGACCAGCGGAAGGCGCTGCTGGTGCGGTCCAGGAAGGTTGTGGAGGGCATGGTGCAGGAGGCACTGAGCCAGCTGGAGGAGCCCACACTCATCAGCTGCGCGGGGTCCACAGGTACTGTCCACCTGCCAGCTGCAGGTCACAGCCTGCTGTTGCCTGGTGGGATTGGGTCCCCTGTTGTAGCCTACTGAGCGGGGCCATCGGTACAGTTTTGGTGAAGGCGCATGCCAAGTGCCCACTTGATGGAGGGGACACCAGGAACCTCAGTCACTGGCCGATGAGGCTTGGAAGAGAGCTGTGTGTAGTGCACAACCTGTAAACCCAGCACTCGGGAGGCTGAGGCGGGAGATCTCAAGCTCAAGCCTACCCTGGGCAGTTTAGACCCTGTCTCAAAATAAAATATGAAAAGGACTAGAAAGCAGCTTAACATCCCAGGGTTCAGTCCCCGGTGCTGGAAGGAAAAAAGAAGAGAGAGATGCGAATTAGTGGAGAGAAATGGAGGTGGGAAGAAATTTTTTAAAAACCCATCCTGAGCATAGTGGCCCACACTTGTAATCCCAGCACTCTGGGAAGCTGAGGCAGGAGGATTACAAGTTTGAGCCAAGCCTGGCCAACCTAGTAGAACCCTGTCTCAAAATAAATAATTGAAAAGTCTGATGCAAAGGCCCTGGGTTTAATCCTCAGCATCCCGCCCCATATACAATAAATAAGTAAATAAAAATAAATAACTAAAAAATAAAAACACCTAACTTGTATTGAGGCTTCCCACGTGCCAGGTACTATTCCAGGGGCTTGCGTGGACATGGCCTGGCCCAGCTCACCCTCACAGTGTCCCCATGAGGAGGTCCTGTCATTCGTCTGCTTTCAGATGAGGCGAGCACAGCCAGCCTGAGGTCACACAGCCGAGCAAGAACAGCAGAACCAGGAGCCACCCCTGGAGCACGCTCTCAACTCCTGAGCTGTGTGGCTTCTGTGGATCTGTGGCCAGGGGCTCAGCAGTGGAAATGACTGGGGTACAGAGCGAGATCACACGTAGGGAAGCCAAAGAGAACCAGTGTGGGCCCAAGAGCAGCGAGACTTAAGGGGCCTTGAAGGACTTTGCAGGATTCACGTAGAGGCCAGAGGCAGAGAGGAGAGAGGCAAAACCTGCACCCAACCTGATGCTGAGGCCGAGATAGGCTTCTCCATGCAGTGCTTCCCATCAGAAGCAGCATGCCCACAGTTTTCCTTCCCAGCCTTCCCCTGTCCCAGGGCAACTCCTGCAAGGCTGGGCAGCTCGTCTGTCCCGCACCTTTCTTTTTTCTTTTTTTTTTTGAGACAGGGTCTCGCTATGCAGTTCAGGCTGGCCTTGAGCTCACTTTGTAACCCAAGCTGGTCTCAAACTTGCAGCAATCCTCCTGCCTCAGCCTCCCTAGTGCTGGGATTACAAGCATGCGCCACCATGCCCAGCTGCCTGCACCTTCCCTAGGGTGTGGGACATGGGCCCTGAGAACCCTTGCTCTGACCTCGCCCTGTCTTCCCTCTCACAGAGCACCTTCTCTCCAAGGTCAAGTCTGTTTCCAGCTGCATTGAGCAACTGGAAAAGAGTCGGAGCCAGTACCTGGCCTGCCCAGAAGGTGAGAAGGCGGAGGGGTAGACTCTTGCTAGTGACATCCAGGTGGGACAGTGACAGGTCCCTGTGCACCGGGAAAGGGGTGTGTGTGACTCTGAAAGCAGGGAAGCAGAGGGTCTGAAAGTGACATCCTCAGCCTGGCCTGAGACACATTTCTTCCCACTCTCGGCAGATATAAGTGACCTTCTGCACTCTGTCACGCTGCTCGGCCACCTGACCAGTGACACCATTGCTCACGGAAGCAGCACCAGCCTCAGGGCCCCGCCAGAGCCCGCGGACTGTGAGTGGCAGGGGTCAGGGGCTGCCCTGAAAACAGGATGAGCGGGGGGCCTTTAAACGTCCCCGTCACCCTGTGCTTCCAGCGCTGACTGAGGCCTGCAAGGAGTTCTGCAGGGAAACCCTCGCCTACCTGGCCTCGCTGGAGGAAGACGCCACCCTCAAGGATGCTGACAGCACGGCCATGAGGAGCTGCCTGAGCAAGATCAAGGCCATCGGCGAGGTATTTCCTTCTGCACTTGGGACTCAAGTGAGAGCTGGGAAGGCTGACCTCTGAAGAATGTCCCACCAGTGTCACAAACAGTTTTCCTGTCCCTAAGGGTTGTTAGCAGGTTGGGCAGGTGACACCTCAAGTGGACACAATAGTGTTATTTATTCATTCTATAAAGATGTGAATACATCCTGTCTACCAGGAATTGGGTTAGGATAGGGACAAAAATACATGAACCTTATAGGAAAGAAAAAGAAGAAAAGCAACCATTTTATACTCTGAGTGGAGCTGTGATAGAAATCTGTTTTAAGATTATAAGATATAATCTTATTATAGAAGAATATGCCTGTAATCCCAGCTACTTGGGAGGCTGAGGCAGGACAACCTTGAGTTTGAGGCCAACCTGGGCACCTTAGTTGGAACCCTGTCTCAAAACAAGTACAATACAAAGTAATGTGTAATTAATTTATTACACTAAAAGACACATTACCATGAATCCCTGTCAAAATATTCCTCCTTGCTTCTAACACACTGGTCCCATCATTCTTGCCACTTTCTGAAGCAGTTCTGGAAATCCTCTTTTGTGAGTGTCTTTAGTTGCACTGTCACAGCTGCCTCAGTATCCTGAATTGATTCAAAATGTTTCCCTTTTGTGATCACTTTGACTTTGGGGAAGAGCCAGGAGTCACGCCATACCAGATCCTGGGAATAAGGTGGAGTACATACCGTCAAAGTTTTTGCTTGACAAAAATTGCTGTGACTGTTTGATAATAAGAGTTGATCATAAAACACAGTGAATATTTCAAATTCAAAAAATTATTACGTAAAAGACACATCTCCATCACAAGTACTCTCCTTTCGTTTGAAAATGTGTCCCATCATTCTTGACAAAGTGTCTTTTACTTTTATTTAAATATTTACTGTAGATTTTGCTCACTCTGTGTATGTAGCTCTGCACGCAAGGACATTTCCTCTCTGGCTGTTCATTCTCCTTCTGGGCCCTTCTCACCGCTCCCTTCCCTGACAGCATTAGCAGCGGGCACTGTCAGGTGCTTGCTCACCTGTGTGTTGCCCTGAGGTGGAGACCACACCTCTCACTGCACCCCAGGCTCCTGCTAAATCAGTGCCCTGTTTATGTTCAGTTGGCTGATTTTGCACATAGAGAGCACACGTAGAGAGCAAGTCAGGAAAAGAGAAGGGCCTGGCTCAGGGAGGGAGCTTCCTGGGGAGGAGTGGGATGAACTGTGCATAACGGGGAATTGCAAGCTTTAGCGTCATTATTACTACTATTTTATTTCAGTATTGTTAAACGGGGTGGTAGCAGAGGTGACGCTGGCGCTGTCTGTCTCTGCTGGAGATAAAGCGTCCTCCCCAGTATACTGCTGCAGTGGGTAAATTGAGGACTTGGTATGCAAGTCCAAATACGGAGGGCACCATGAGGAGATAAAAATTAGTGAAAACAAAGTGTGGTAGACAGATCATGGGCAAGCTTCCTTTCTGGCCCGGTATTCAGAGGATCTTCTCAGTATAAGACAGGGAAAGTGCTGGATAAATTTAGGACAGAAAACATTTTTTAAAAACTTTAGCCAGGCGTGGTGGTGCACGCCTGTAACCCCAGCACTCGGGAGGCTGAGGCAGGAGGATTGTTGCAAGTTCAAAGCCAGCCGGGGCTACAAAGTGAGCTCAAGGCCAGCCTGAACTGCATAGCGAGACCTCTCGAAAAGACTAAATAAATAAATAATAAAACTTGAGCAACTGAACTGACTAAACACTAAGGAAATTCTCAGGATCATGAACCAGAAAGAAGCTAGAGTCAGCAATTGTTCTATGGGGTTTTCTTTTAACCCATCTCCGGTGGCCTAGAGCTTGCGTTTCGGTGAGCCACACATAACCAGGAGAATAAGAAACAAAACCTACCGTCACAAAAGAGAATGGATTCCCATGAAGACCCTTCTTCCCAAAGTAGGAGCCTTCAAGGGTCACAGCCTGAATAATGGGAGATCCTCTAAGTAGTAAATTAATGTAGTTAATTCACAAACAAAGCTGTCTGAGACTTCTACCTTATATGAGGAGACCTCACATCCTTGATTCTGCGAGGAGAAAACTCAGGTTTTAAAGAATTCGTATCCACAAGCTACCTGTCCAAACCTCCTGCTACCTGCATGGCTTAAGGAACCCAAACAGGCATAAAGTTTTTAAATAAAATAGTCAGGTGAATAGAGGCCCAGGGAGCAGAACAGATCCTGGTTGTCCTTAGAGGAATGTGCCTACACCCAGACCTCAGAGAAGTTTCTCGGGTAAAGTCCCAAGGATATGAATTCACAGCACCATAGAACTTTCAAAAATAAAAAATGCATAAAAGTAATGACTTAGTGTAGAATTCAATAGGAGATGAAAATGAAGCTGAAGGGGAGGTTGGTGACCTGGATGACAGATCTGAAGGAAGGACCCAGAATGTGGCACTCGTTTTAGGAACTGGAATATAATGGCTAAGAACAAGGAGGATAGAATATCTACTGCCAATTCCAGAGAAAGATGATAGCAAGGCCATGTCCTCTTTTTAACCCCCTAAATAAGACGTAGTTAGTTTTACATGTTATTGATAACATAAATCAAATCATATGTATATATTTTTCTACATCCTGCTTTCTCAGCATTCTGTATGTGAGATTTATCCATGAAGATAATTACATTTTCTCTGCTTTGTAATGTTCTGTTGTATGAAGATAGCTTAATATATTTGTTCTTTTGCTGATGGACATTTGGGTTCTTTGCAGTTTAGGCCATTATGACTGCACCCCCATGGTCATTCTTGTACATGTCTCCTGATGAATATGTGTAAGAGGTTTCCTGGAGTATATTCCCAGGAATAAAATTACGAGGTTAATAGGATGAACCAGGTGCATAGAATGTAAGAGGGAATATTAAGTCATAGAAGAATACATACAATGTGATTACTTTTGTATAAAGACCTAACTATTTAAACTTCACAATATCTTGTTTAAGGATGCATCCATATAGGGTTTTTTTTTTTTAAAAAAAAAAAAGGCCTGAGAATTACTCTTATGAATCTATCTTTATTTTTGGGTAGAGGGTAGGGAGGAAGAGTTAGAATTCAGGCAGGAAATAAAGGGGATTGCAAAGTAATGCATTTCAAATAGACTTGCATCTTAAGCCGCTGCTGAAGCTGGGCAATATAAAATGAGTCTATTCTTTTTTTAAATTTTTGTTGCTTTTTTTTTTGAGACAGAGTCTAACCATGTAGTCCAGGCTGACCTTGAACTTACTATGTAGCCCAGGCTAGCCTCAGACTCACAGCAATCCTCTTGCCTCGACCTCCCAAGTGGTGGGATTACAGGTGTGCACCACCACACTGGGCCAAAATTTGTATTTAACTGATACATCGTAAAAACATGAAAATGGCACAAAATAGTAGGCTACCAAATAAGGCTTCCATACCACACATACATTGCATAATGTTGAAGAGTCTGTTCTTAATTAAACTATTTTAAACTATTAAACTATTTACTCCAGGAAACATAACACAGAATGTGCTTAACAATCATGGGCTTTAGCTACTCAGTGTTGCAGGCCTGTAACCCCAGCACTCTGAGAGGCTGAGGCAGGAGGATGTGAGATCAATCCCTGTCTGGGGCACTAGTGATTTAGTAAGACCCTGTCTCAGGGGCTGGGGATTTAGCTCAGCAGCACAGCACCTGCCTGGCAAGCGCAAGGTCGTGAGTTCAATTCCTGGTACCGGAAGAAAAACAAAAACAAAACAAAACAAGACCCTGTCTCCAAATTTCAAAAGGGCAGGGGTGTAGCTCGGTCCAGAGGCCCTTGTTTAGTGTCCCCAGTACTACAAGCAAACAAGCACACACTACATTGGTTTTGCATCATTCAGACCTGAGGTCAAATCTCTGCTCTACCCTTGCATTAATAGCATAACTGTGGTCAGGACATTCTCCCTCTCTGAGCCTTGGTTCCCTGTCTCTACAACAGGATAGGAACAGCTGCTGGGTCATACTGGTTGGAAGATGCATTTGTGTTTGAGAAGGTTTTAAAATACTTCCACCTATGCTGGGCATGGCGGCACACGCCTGTAATCCCAGCGCTCGGGAGGCTGAGGCAGAAGGATCACCTGTGCGTTCAAGGCCAGCCTACACTACATAGTGAGACCCTGTGTCAAAAAAATAATAGTTTAAAAATAAATAAAATACTTCTGCCTAGCAAATAAATTGGCCCTGTGCAAGTATGGGGTTAGGGCCTGAGCACCTGCAGCTGAATGACCTTGTGGCTTCCTAAAAGGCTCCCACCTCAGCCATCCTGTAGGGCTGACCGTCCTGCCAAGAGTCACTGCAGCCTTTGTGATGCCTTCATAGGAGCTGCTGCCCAGAGGCCTGGACATCAAGCAGGAGGAGCTGGGAGACCTCGTGGACAAGGAGATGGCCGCCACTTCAGCCGCCATTGAAGCTGCCACAGCCCGGATCGAGGTAGGACGATGCTGTCGGATCTTCTGAAGTGACACTGTTGCAGCTGCCCTGGAACAGCCTTGCCCCTGAGACACCTCTTAGGCATGAGGCTAAAGTGGCCCCCTGAAAAACAACCACACCCAAACCACGGCATCCAGGAGGGGTAGAAATGAAGGAGTCCTCGCTGAAGGAAGCCAAGCAGTTTCCCCCAAGGGACAGCTGCTTTGGCGTCAGACCACCCAGGGTTCAAGTTCCAGACTGAGTACTTACTAATAGCGTGGCTTCTATAAATTATATTCATCTGGCTCAGATTTTGATCCCATTTCCATAGGGTGGCAATAATCATGATCCTACCCTAGAGATATTGAAGGGCAGCCCTGCTGAATAGTAGTGAATCTCAGAAAAAGCTGAGTGGGCACCACTGGAAACGTCCTGTATGGCCCCTTTGGCGACCGCCATGGTAGGGTCACCTGCCTCTGGGAGCTGATAGCAGCGGCCCCTTTTGGCCTGGGGCGATGACTCACACTCTCTGCACTTCAGCCCGGGTGTCTGAAGGTCAGGCCCGCCATTGACTGCAAAGTGATCTAGACAGACAGGAGCCCTGAGCACGCCCTGACCCCCACAAGCTCCTGGGTGCGGCCTAGACTCCGCTTTGTCAGCACACACAGCAGGTTGGACCTGGAATGCAGCAGGGCATTGATGGGTTCCTAGCACGAGTGTTGCATTCAGAAACCATGCTTTTTTTAAACAGGAAATGCTCAGCAAATCCAGAGCGGGGGACACAGGCGTCAAGTTGGAGGTGAACGAAAGGTCAGTCTGAGCCACAACAGCATGTTCCTGGTGTTGGCTTACTCCCTGCATCCTGTCAGGGGCTTAGAGTAGCAGCCTTGGAGAACTGCAGCGTCAGTGGAGTAGCAACAGTGCTGCTGCATTATAGGGAAATGGGGCCCGAGTCCTGGCCGAGCCAGTCCTTAGGAGGAAAGTCCCGGTCGGTCTTCTCGCTGGCCAGGGGCTTCACCCTGGACTGTTCCAGCAGTCTCCGCACCTTCCTGGCCCCTCAGCCCCTCAGCCCGCATTTGCCTTGGCTTAAGAGTGAGAGAGGGAGTCATCCTGTTTATTCTTGGTCTCTGTGACTCAGACTTGTTTGCTTTTTGCGCAGGATCCTTGGTTCCTGTACCAGCCTAATGCAAGCCATCCAGGTCCTGATTGTGGCCTCAAAAGATCTCCAGAGGGAGATTGTGGAGAGCGGCAGGGTGAGCAGGGTGTGGGCCAGAGGACGGGGCCCTCGGTTGTCAGCAGTGCTCCCCCGCTACTGTTCTTTCCTCTGTCTGTTGAGCTATAGCGGCCACATCTATGGGCGTCGGAGGCAGTGGGATGAGGCGGGGCTGTGCCAGCTTCTGCGGGCAGCCAGCCACAGCTTCTGGCTCCAGCTCACACTCCCTGGGGGACCTGCTGTGGAAGCCCCGTTGCTGCTGCAGTGTGGGCCTCCCAGGAAGAAGTGGGGACTTCGGGAAATGGGGCAGACCTCAAGAACAGATCTGGTGCCGTCCCTCAGGGCCTCTGGGGGCTTGGCCCCAGGACCGCTGTGGATACCGAAATCTGCAGATGCTGCCGTCCCCTTACAGAGTGGCACAGAATTTGTGTAGAAACCACACACATCTTCCCATAGACTTCAGATCGCCTCCAGCTGACTTCTAATACCTACTGCAGTGTAACTACTGTGGAAAGAGTTATTACGTTGTAGTGTTTCATGAATAATAACAAGAAAAATACTGTACCTCTTCAGTACAGATGCAGTTTTTTTGTTTTTTTTTAAACATTTTTGAGCTGGGCATGGTGGCACACACCTGTAATCCCAGCCCTTGGGAAGCTGAGGCGGGAGGATTGCCACGAGTTTGAGGTCAGCCTGGGCTACATAGCAAGACCCGGTCTCAATCAATCAATCAATCAATCAGTAAACAAATAAATAAAATTTTTAAAAACTAAAAAGTCTTTTTGCTACAGGACTAGTTGCTCGCAGTACAGGTAGCCCATGAAGAGGGAGGTCCGGCTGCACTGACTTCCACAGCAGCAGAGTGGGCTCATCATTATTCACAGCCTCCCTGCTGTCAGCCTCTTGTCTACTGTGCCACTTTGGCCAGTTGCTCCCTCCAGTCCTGTGCACAGCTGCAGCCCAGGAGGCCGGGGCCCTGTGCAAGGGGTCGGAACCCAGACACCACGCTAGAGAAAGCAGCCTACCCCGCCCCCTCGCTACAGCCTGGGGTTGTTTCCCATCCTGACTGTGGATGGGTGGGCTGCTGAGGTTTACTTGCAGATTATCAGACACTCCCCAAGCATAGGCGTGGTTTTAAATCCAACTAGAAAAATTTTTAATAATTATCCACTGTGTATACTGTCTTGTTTTGGCAAACCATGGCGCATAGTAGACCCCCTTGGATCATCACTTGCGTATTTTATTCATCTAGTGTACAGTCACCCCTCAGCATCCTCAGGGAAGTAGCTCTGGGACCCCCTGCAGATAGCAAAGCTGCACCTGCTTGGGTCCCTTATATAAAATGGTGGCATTCACATAAGACCTGCGCACACCCGGATGCGTACTTTAAGTCATCTGTACTTATACCTGATGCAATGTAAACGTTAGGGAATAATGACTAAGAAACACTCCACATTCACTGCAGACACGACTCCCCCACTTTTTGTGCTGCTGGGGACCGAACACAGGGCCTCGTGCATGCTGGGCAAGCGCCCTGCCATTGAACTGTGTACCCTTAGCCCCGTGATTATTACAGTCCATCGCTGGTTGAATCTATAGATGTGGGACCATTGGACACTAAGCCAGCGATAGCAGTGAATGCGTTGAAAGCCGGGGAAGCCCAGGATATATTAATATTTATTTCCCACATGACATCAGGAGAAACATTTTTGCCTCCCTAAATCATACTTTTCTTTCTTGTTTTTTAAAGAAGATCTCACTTTGTTGTTTTTTTTGTTTGTTTTGTTTTGGCACTGGGAATTAAACTCAGGACCTTGAGCTTGCAAGGAAGGTGCTGTGCCACTGAGCTATATCCCCCAGCCCTCGATTTGTAGTTTACGCTGGCCTTGAACTTGCAGTGATCCTCCTACCTCAGCCTCTGCAGTGCTGGGATCACAGGCCCGCACCACTATGCCCAGGTGCTCACAGATACAGGTAGCCCATGAAGAGGGAAGGCTGGCTGTATTGACTTCCCGCAGGGGTGCAATCAGAGTTGTCTTCTATAGAAAATGGGGGTAATGATGCTTTCTTTCAAAGTGACAGTGAAAACTATAGGATTATATGTACGAGCGTCTGGCATGTTATAGGCACTCCGTAAAAACAGCTGTTACTATTTTTCACTTCTATAGGGAACTGCATCTCTTAAGGAATTTTATGCCAAGAACTCTCGGTGGACAGAAGGACTCATCTCAGCCTCCAAAGCTGTGGGCTGGGGAGCCACCATCATGGTGTAAGTGTCTAGGTCCAAGACTTCCTATCAACCCCCATTCCCCTGATCCACCCAGAGAATAGCTGAGGGAGAAAAAAAAACATGCCCTAGAAACGAACCACTGATAGTCAGTGGGACTAAAAGTTCAAGAGGGACCCGGGTTTGCACAGAATGACACAGGGGCAGGGTGGGCAGACTGTCCTCCCTGTCCAGCTGGTGCCATGGGGTAGGCTGGAGTCAGGCCCCAGCTGCCCATGACCTTGTCCGTCCTCTCCTCTCCTGGCTGTCAGGGATGCTGCTGACCTAGTGGTCCAAGGCAGAGGGAAATTTGAGGAGCTGCTGGTGTGTTCACATGAAATCGCTGCTAGCACAGCCCAGCTTGTGGCTGCATCCAAGGTAAGACCGTACTGGACTCCCCAGGATGTTGTAAAGCCTGGCAAAGTCAGAGTCCTTGGAATAGAGCTGACCCCACGGACAGGTGATTTATCCATGATTCGGGCAGGTTGGGCCCAAATTCTGTAACTCAGGGTCCCATGTCACCCTCTTCAAGCAACCTAATCTCTGCTCCCAAGGACCCCTCCCCCAGGTTGCCGCCTATGTGCGTGTGGCTCCTCACTTCCGTTGGAACCTTGTAGGGTCTCTAAGTAGTAATCCCAGCATCAAGGAACACTCAGGTAGGCTCCAGTTGGCGTGGAAGGGAGACCACCTGGTACGGCTCTGAGAGTCCACATAACCCATATTTGCCCCTCCTTGTTAGTCTCCAACCTTGAACCAGTGCCCCAGCCAATCCCATGCAGAGCTTGTAACCAAAGTCTTGTTACAGCTTCCATAGTCCTCATGCAGTGAGTGTTCTTTATTTGTTCCTATTTTTTTATTGTTGCCTCAGATTATCTTTTACAACTTCACAGTTTATTGGAGTAAGTGAGAAAGCTACAGTTTGGGCCCAGCGAGCCCACAAGCCGGGAAGGACTGTTTAGATTCCAGGCATGCTGGCAGAGGACTCCACGGGCAGCCATTTTTAAGAAACTGATTGATAACAACAGAGGGGTCTCACTTATTTGTCAAGAACCACTAGACCAGCTGTTCGACGCAGTCTTGCTGCTATGAGTGTGTGCCACTAAATCTGCTTTGTCCTGGCAGGTGAAAGCTGATAAGGACAGCCCCAACCTTGCCCGGCTGCAGCAGGCCTCTCGGGAAGTGAACCAGGCCACAGCAGGGGTGGTAGCCTCAACCATTTCTGGCAAATCACAGATTGAGGAGACAGGTAGCCTTCTAGAAGTATGCTTTTCTCCTCCACCCTGTTTAGCCGCTCTATTTTACCCCATGAGCCCAGTTTCCCATGGTTCTATTGCTAAATATTCTTGGTTTTCATCTTTCTGCATATATACTTATTTTCTCTGAGGTGGGATACCATACAAGCATGCTGCTTATATTGCTACAATGGAAGGCCCTTAAGGAAATTTTCAAAGAAGTAGCTACAAGGAAAATCTACAAGGCCGATTGCTCCTTGGAGAGGGCAAATACTGGTCACCCCCTTCATCCTTCCTTCCTCTTCGTCCCTCAGTTTCTGCTATGTATGTGTTGTCATGCGGCAGGCCAAGCATTCCAGCAAAGCATTGGCGTTGCCTGGGGAAGATCAGCCAGGGACATTACTTGACAGGAACTTCTTACTTCCCTCCTTGCAGACAATATGGACTTCTCAAGCATGACGTTGACCCAGATCAAACGCCAAGAGATGGACTCCCAGGTGAGAGCCCCATCGCCATCTCTGATTCTAGAGCTCTGCATTGCATAGACATCAGCCCCAAGTGTAGTTCCCAGGGAGAGAAGCAGGAGAGAGAAAGAAAGTTGGAGGGAGATGAACACAAATGTTTCTGCTGGCCCAAGACTGAATGTTAATGATGTTGGAAGACTCATTGGAAATGGGAGAGTTGATTAACAAAGATCAGAATCTGAACTCTTGCCCTCTGGTATTGGATTGGTTGCCCTTGACATGTTTAGGGATTGCCTGGCTGCCCACATACTGGTACTTAATAGTCTTACTGTCACTCAATGCCAGGGTTCCCAGGGGTCCCTTCCAGGCTCTTGTCCTGTTCAAAGACAACTGAAGAACATTGAGATTTTACATTTATTAAAGCTAAAAGTAGGTAAGAAAGAAGTATAAAGAAAAAGAAGTATGGGAAAAGAAAGTACACCCAATACACAAAGAGGCCACTGCAAGAGAAAAGACAGTGACCACGAGGCCAATGGCTGCCATCTTTTACACCCCACTTCTGAGCTGAGCTCCAGGCCATCCTGCCACTGTTCTGCATGGGTCCTGGCTGTGCTTAACAGGTCACGCCCAGTTGCCCAGCCAATCCACCATGCCCTAATTTCCTGCCTCATTCCTATAGATGATGTTTTCAAAAACTTCCGATGCAAAGTGAGTGTGACCTTTAGTTGAAAAATGGAAGTCAACAAAAATAGTCAAAAAAGTCAACAAAAATAGTCAAAAAAAATAGAAGTCAACAAAAAAAAAAAAAAGAAAAAGAAATAAAGATAAAACGCAATGGTAATTCAAAGACAGTGCCATTTATCTCCCTGGTTCAGTAGAGCTGTGCCATGTAACACAGGATTCAGTGGGATTCTTGAAAAAAAATTGCCATCTTTTCATCAGTCTTAAGTTAAAATCCAGGTTGGGTTGTTAAAGCCTCACAGGTGGTTCATCTTGTGAAAGTCATGTGGCCGGATTTCCATCTAAATACTGAAAGACCATAGTCATGCCTTTAATCCAGCTACTCAGGCAGGAGGACTGCAAGTTTGAGGCCAGCCAGGGCAACTTAGTGAGACCCCATCTCAAAATAAAAGTTCAAGAAAGGGCTCAGATGTAGCTTACCCAGCACACACGAGGACCCTGGGTTCGATCCCAGTACAACAACAACGAAGTTAATAAATCGTAACAGGACTATTGCCTCGTGGTCTCGCCCAGTCTTTGACTGTAAACACAATCTGTGTGCTGATAAATGCCCAGTTCTTCCCCCTGGCCTACATCTTCTCTTTGAGCTCCCTACGTACCCAACCGTTTGTTGTCTCCATTTGCTGCCCAGTGAGTAGCTCAAGTGGAGCGTGTCCGAAGCACGTCCCTGCCTCGTCTTCTCCATCTTGTCAGTGGCCCTGCGGCCACCCATCTGGAGTCACCTGGGGGCCTCTCCTTGCCTCACCCTCTGTATCCAGGTCATCTGCAAGTCCTGTCAACTCTGAATCTCTAGCTCACTTGCACTGTTGACCTGCTACAATTCATTCTCCTCCACGTAATATTTTAACAGTATAAAGTGTGTCATGCCACCTCCCTGCTTCAGTCCTTGCGGCGGCTTCCCCTTGACTACAATAACACACTCCAGCCAGCCATATGCCGGCTATTTCTCAGCACCATCTCACAGCATGCCTCACCTGGAGCGCCTTCATTCTTCCAGCACCTCAGGCTCATTCCTGCCACTGGACCTTTGCTCTTGCTCTTCCTTCTGCCTGGAATATTCCTTCCCAGCTCTCTACACATCTGTGCTCCTCTGGTCCTATCGGTTTCAGCTTGAAAGTGACTTCCCAAGAGCATCCCTGGCTGGCCACCCTTAGTCTTTATCACATCGTCCTGTTACTTTCTTTAGTCTGAAATTCTCTTGGTCACTTGTTTCTTCCTCTCTGCGCATAAATCCAGACCTTATCTGTGTGTCCTTCTCTGTGTCTCCAGCACCTGCAGCAAAGCTTGAGGTCCATGACGGGCGTTCAGCAAATATTTCTTGAATTAATAAATAAAATTGGGGCGCTGGAGATTTAGCTCAGCGGCATAGCGCCTGTCTGGCAAGCGCGAGGTCATGAGTTCAATTCACGGTACCAGAAAAAAATAAATAAATAAATAAAATTGATGGCAAGAAGGGCTAGGCAAGAACCTCCGCTTCCTTTCGTAAGATTGTCCACGCCCTTTCCTATAGCAGTAACGTCAGAGATGCCAGAAGCATCATAGTTCTTCCTCCCTGGACTTCAGGGACTGGGAGATTGAAGGAGAAGGGTCCCAGCTAGGCTGGAGCCCGGCATACATGCAGTAGGCTACACCAGGAGCTGTTCCATGTGTGTCTGCCGGAGGACTGGGAGATGGCCCGCCTTCCTTGGAGGTGTTATCCGTAAAGCATTGGAGGGCACGGTGAGGGAGAGAGCGAGAAGCAGGGCGGAGTAGAAGCTGAGGGCTGGCTGAGCTGTGGAAACAGGGCGGGAGAAGAAAATGAGAACAGAGGAGCAGGGTTATGTCCAAGTACGACAGCGCTCCGAGAGCCGCTCTAAGGAAACCTCCGCTTCCTTTCCCAACAGGTTAGGGTGCTGGAGCTGGAAAATGAGCTGCAGAAGGAACGTCAGAAGCTGGGAGAGCTGAGGAAAAAGCACTACGAGCTCGCAGGCGTTGCCGAGGGCTGGGAAGAAGGTGAGCTGCCTCCGGACCGGCGGTGTCACCGCAAGGGGGCAGTTGCATGGCCGGAGTCTCCACTTTCATGTGACAGAACGAGAAGAAACCTGCAGTCGTTTCTTCCTCTTCTCTTAGAGCCTGTTTCCCTTTAGAAATAACCTTTAAGCCAAAAGCCTGGGCAAACCATGGTGAAGTAGAAGCTTTTGCTGTCATTCCTCAAAACCTCAGCACTGACTGGTGAACTCCGCTCACTCACTGCTATGTCCTTGTAGGCTACCATCCTGGGGGGCACCCCACAAATTTAGTCACTGGCCAGTGCAGAATTAGTGATCAGTGGGGATCTGGCAGCCAAGGGCAAACAAAACACAGGTTTCTGTCCAGAGCCAGTGATGGGCCAACGAGGGCCATAATGTAAAGGCTCAGGAGGAAGCAGAGGATGAGCGGAAGCCCCAGCTCCATGAGCGCCCTCACCCGCTGTCTGTGTGTGCCGTTTCTCACCTGTCCAGGGTGGCCAGCTGGGTCAGAACCAAGAGTGTAGCTTCTTGTTGGAGTTGACCCACCACAGATCTGTCGTCATGATTTCCTAAACACTGAACTTGGGAGGGAGATGGTTATACCATGGTCAGGGCTGTCACATGTGTTAGAGCCTGATGTGGTGTGGTGGCAGTGTGTGTTGGTTCAAGGAATGCATGCATGAAATGCCATGTGACAGAAATTATCATCTTCTTTTAGGAACAGAAGCATCTCCACCTATGCTGCAAGAAGTAGTACCTGAAAAAGAATAGAGGAGAGCTAACGTGCCACACATCAATGTAAGTCCTCGTTCTGTGTGTGTGTGTGTGTGTGTGTGTGTGTGTGTGTGTGTGTGTAGATCCTTGGGGTCCCAGTGGCAGCCATTGACTAGCCTAAAGGAACTGCACAACCTGCAAAGACTCCCTCCTCAGTGACACCCCCTGTGTTTGAACTGTGATTGGGGTTCTCTCCCTGCCTCCCTGGTGTCCATGTATCCTGCCCCGTGTGCCCATGAGTAAGCCTGTATCCAAAGAGGAGAGGAACAGGACCACTCAACAGGGAGGACACCGGGCAGTCTGCCCATTGTTTTAGAGAGGTTTCTTGGTCCTATTGCTGTTGAGAGCGTGGAAAGAAAGCATCTTATGCTTTTTCTGTTCCTTTTCCCGCAGTCTTTTCCGTTTCATCATTTGCACAAACTTTCGAGCACCGAGGACTGGCGGCCTCCAAGCCAGGACGCTCCCAGAGTGCAGCCAGGACCGCAGGGGCATCCGGGCTGAGAACAGCAAGGCAATTCTCCCCTTCTTTTGGCAGTCCCATGGATTCTCACTGCTTCTTACGGTGGTCGTTTGAGTCTTTTGGTTTTAGATTTTGGAAGTTTCGCTCACATAGCCAACTCTTCCTGGCGCTCCGAGCCCCCAGGGCCCACACCGCACGGCCACGGTACTGCTCAGGCTTCGCCTGGTGCTCCAGCTCAGCCTCCTCACCGAGTGCGCCGCTGAGCAAGTGCTCCTCAGGGGCGGGCGACAGCTCTCCTCAGAAGGCCGAAGCAGAGCGAGTGCCTTTCCTTCCTCATGCTGGGCACCAGCGGAACACCTCTGTCCAGCCTGTCCCAAGCCACAGGGCCCCCGAGTCAGAGGGTGCGCACAGCCCGTGGACTCCCGGGACAGCTCTCCTCCGAGTTCACACACCTTAGAGTTTGGGTGAACGGAGCTGGCAAGAGCAGCAGCACTGCTTCCCTGGGGTGAATCGCCCTTGCCACATCACATGGCCACCTCCCTCAACCCAGGCAAGGCCCTAGGAGCGTACAAGAGGGGCTTCCAGCTCCTCCCCGCACCTGCCCTGGCATCCTCTGGAACCCAAGGAAGATAGTTCCATGTGCTACCTAACTAACAGACCTGGCAGAGCAGGCCCTCATGTTCCTGTCAGGAAAGAGCCCTGTGCTTGGTGTGTCCCCTTCGTATTTATTACTAACCCTTAAGCAGCAACGGCGACACAGATGCTTGGAGCAATCAGGACTGCAGGTGACTATGACCAGCCTGGCACTGCTGCCTTCCAGTGTCAGTCGTCAGGGATTCCAGAGAAGGCCAAGGTGCTGTCCCTGGGCAGTTGCAGGCTTGCAGGTTCCTCGGAGGATTCGGGGCAGGTGAACAAGAAGCGGAGCCTCTGGCTCTGACTCGTTCCAGCCACGCTTGCTTGGCTCTTGCTCTCCTGCAGACAGGACAAAGACAGAGCCCGGCTGCCTGGAGACAGGGAGCCCAACAGCACTTTCCCACTCCCAGGTGGACCCCAACATCAAGTGACCTTCTGATCTTGGAAAAGCAGCGTCTTCCTTCTTTTATCTGTAGCAGCTCACAGGTGGCAGGGAAGCCCTTCCTTGGACCTGGGCCCATCGCAGTGTGGCTGAGTTTTGCTACGTGACAGGTTGTGAGACTTGTTTAATCACTGTGAATCAACTTCCTCCTCACCCTCCCAGTCCATGCCTGTTGTAAGTGGGACACTTAACACACTGTCTCCCAGAAACAGATTACCATTTTTGGACATGGGCCCTCCATGCTGGGCTCGGGAGGGGTCCACCGTAGAAATTGGCCCTGTCTCTCTGTGCCCAGCATCTCTCCATTCCAAGGTTTAGATGGAGCTGTGTGTAGCATCCCTGGCCCATCTGTGCCACTTAAGCCAGTGAGTATATTGTCAGTGTGGGTCACCTTTTCCAAAAGCGGTACCTAGTCCTCACTTCTAGTCTAAACCACTCAGATTCATGGTGGTGGGAAAGGAGCATACGGGAGCGTGGTAGGGTTCTCTTAACACTCCCTCTGAGAAGTCACAGTCATTTTTAAGACTCTCTTGGGCTCAGTTTGAGGAATAAAGCAGTCGGAAAGGCAGAGAGCACAGGCTAACTCCGTGTCACACAAGTGTCACTGTCAGATGTAGTGTAATTATTCTACAGTAGCTCAGATTGCAGACTGTTCCTCTCAATTATTCTACCTTGGCTCATCTAGAAATGAGTGTTAGGGTCAGGGTGAAATGTCTTAAATGAATATAGAAATCACATCTTAAAGCTTTTAAGTGAGTCACTGGGCCTCCTTAGTGACTGAGGTCTCATGAGTGGGTTTAGATGGGGCCTAAAGCCTAAGCTTAGGCTTAGGCGTAGGCCTAAGGCGAGATGGCAACAAAAGCCTGGCTGAGGACTGAAGAGGTTCCAATCCCGCTGCGTCTGGTATTCGGTGATACAGTGCTCTAACGCCTGCGGAGTAAGGACGCGCACATAATAAGGAAAAAATAGAGGAATAGACTTCCCTTGGTGGGATTATTTTGTATCTAAGCACAGGGTTTAGACTCTAATCTACATTACTTGCCGATTCTGTTGCCCACAGTGGGGTCCCCAGGATGCCGCATGACTCTGAGTCCTTAATCCAGTGCCTGGAAGAACCACGCTGTCCAGAGCGTCCTGTCTTGGAATTCTTTCAGCTACCAAGTCCGACACCAGGGTTTAGGCCAGGAATCACAAGGACCTGTCATTTCAGTCAGTGTAGCTTGCTTCGGCCTCTTGCCTCTTAGGAAGAGCTGGGTTTTTGGCTGGCACCTGGGAAGTACTCACTTCTTGGTCACCTCTGTAGTCTGGAGGGGTCTCCTGGCTTCATTTCACCCTGGTCTTTAATAGCTGGCAAGTGTCTTGCTACTTTCTATGCCTTTCCAAATCTCTAGAAACCCTTCCTGCCAAGGAAAGCCTTGCGCCCCAACATCGGCCTTCTGGCTAGAGCGGCTTTGTCCTCTCTCTGCCATCTTGGGTCCTCCAGCGACCGCACTGCCTGTAGCGCAGGAAACCACCACCGTGGAGCCTGCCAGCCAGCAACGCAGCAAAGCTGTTGAGTGCTCAGTTCTTCGTCTCCCAGGTCCAGACCACATACAGGACCAGCAGCACCCGGTGGTGTCACTGCCTGCCGTGCCCAGGCACCAGGGCAACCAGACAGAACTGGTTAGATGCTGGCGCACCCAGTTCCAGGAGTAGGTGTTCCCAGACGTGTTTCAGGTGACCCTCAACTACCTCAGGTTTGAAGGCTCTAAATTAAGCTGATTACCACGCACAGGGACAAACCGAGGGGGTTTGGTTAAATCTAGGTGATAACACAAATGTCTCAAACCTATAACAAACTCACACTTAGGTTTGCAGGGATAGGGTCGGGTTGGTTTTTCTGTTTTTAACCTCTTCCCCCAATTCTCCATTAGAATAGTCCCTCCAAATAAATCTCATTTCTCACTGAGTGCCTGCCTTCCCAAGGGCAGGTAGCCACTGGCTTTTGTCTCCTTCCAACAATACTTTTATTACGGTATTAAGACCTTTCTTTGTATAATACATTGCATCTGTGTTTTCAATTTTTCAAATAAATATTTCCGGCTGGCGCTGGGGGACAACAGCGGTAATGGGTCACAGTGTCCCTGAGGTCGGGGCTCATCCTAAGATTCCTGGAATCCACTTAGCTCTGTGCCTTGGGGACATTTATTGGAACTTCCTACTTGTCTTCCGTCTTTATAAACACTGCCCTGTGAGGCTGCTGAAACGGTGCCGAAGTGCTCACGACTGTGATCTATCCAGAAAGCCAAGTCTGCCTAAAATCTGTGGCTATTCCCTCCTTATCCTAAAGATACAAACATAACCTGCTGCCTTAAAATCGGATGTGACTAATTCCACTCGGGAACAAAAGCTGCTACCGTGAAGGGATTCAAAGTGAGGTAGTCACGGCCACCATGGGATTTGCAGAGGCACTAACAGAATGGAGCTGGGTTGCAGAGCGACCTTTGCACGGCAGGGTGGGCCCCTTACCTAAAGGGGACCCGCTGGGGACACGCAGATGGGTAAGGGCTGGAGTTGGTATGCGGGAGTCCCTGCTTGGCCCAGGTGGCTTTTCAAGAAAGGGGACACTGAGATGAGTAGCCAGAAGCTAGAGCCTATGAGGAAGTCAGAACCAGAGGAGGGCAACAGAGCAGAGCCTGGCCTACGGCTTCCCCACGTCCAGTAACAGTGCTACAGTGATCCTGCCTGCTCTGAAGCGCTTCTGATAGAATGGATGGTTCTGGTCACAGCGGCCCTGCAAGTTATTCCTAGAGCTCCACTGTGAAGCTAAGGAGCCCAGAAAGCCAGGCAGCAGGACTGTCCTGGGCCTCGTGCTTCGATGAGATTCCACTGAAATTGGCCAAGTCCCCTCCTAGGTCTGCACCTGCCCTGGTTCCACAGAGCTACCAGGCAGAGCCTTTCTGCCCTTGCAGGTGTGCTGCAGGCCTGACCACTCCCCCCAGCATCACTTCACCTTGATCAGGTGCCCCAGGGCCTGGTATATCCCGGGAGACCTTCTGGAGTCCTGTGAGTAGGCCCCAGTTCCAGGAGGGCAGCCTGGCTAGCTGGTCATTCGGGCCGGCAGTGTTCTGATCAGCCACCAGAACAATGCTAATGGCCCCTTCAAAAGGCTTGGAGAGTTAGGGTCTATACAGGCAGGGGTCAGAAGCTGCCTGGGACCTGGGGGCAGGGCTGCTAAGGTGGAAAGGAAAAAAGTGGAGATGGGCCGGTGACAGGAAGGCACACAGTGAAAGCACACTGGGTCCAGCTGTGAGTTAAAGCCACCGGGCTTGAACCCCACCTGTCCACCCTCAGTCTCTATCGTGTAACTGATGTGTGGCAAACCTCTAAGCGTTACTTTGGGGTGCATAGATGCCGCCTCTATTACAGTACATTCGCAGATGCATTATACACATGCATTCAGTCATGGTGCAGGCACTGGACTTGCAAAAATAAAGCCCTTGTGTTCCCTGTCCTCAAACACTGCATCCACATGTTGTCAGTTGTCTGCTGTACCGGGCGCCGGGAGCACGGCGAGAGCAAAGGACGTAGTTCTACCTGCTTGAAGCTCACAGGCTATTGAGAGACACAGTAGCATGATCAGGGATCACAGCAGGAAGCACGAAGGGTTGAGGTAGCATGCTGGCCTGGAAGGAGTCGGAAAGCGTCCTACATGGGGTGGCTGAGGGTATCGGTCGGTGCTTACTGGAGAAACACATTTAATGCAAGATCTACAAATACGTAAGAATTTACAAGCTTGGCTTACAACGGCCGCCCAGAGTCAGGTGTGGAAGAGTGCAAAAGGGCTGTCTGCGTGCTGGAGACACAAAGGATCCATTCAATGCCCTGGAGCTCCGTGTAGTGTCCCGTGTGAGTCTGTATCAATAGGCTGAAGGGTCTGCTAGAGGCTGAAGAGTCCATGCTGGAAGCAGGGAGATGTCGTCTGAGGTGAAAGTAAAGACAGCTCCTCTGAAGAACAGAAGCAAACCTGCCTTCTTTGTTTCCCTTTTATTCCGTGCAGGCGGCAAGCCTATTGGTTGCCGTCGCCCACACCCAATCTTCAGTAAATCCCTTCAGCCACACCCAGAGCTATGCTGATCCAATTGAGTTGGGCATTTCTCACTCAAGTTGACACAATCAGCTAAGATCCAGTGGGTGAGGAGATACTAGGTAGATAAAGTAGTAAGAAAGTTCATTCTCAGTAGGAGCTGCATGTGCAAATGCCCTGTGGTGAGACAAAATGATTCAAAAACAAGCAGGACAAGACTTGCATTTTGAAAGTATTCAAAGGGAAGAATACAGCAATAATTTTCAGAGGTAAAGAACCAGGTATGGTAGTACATACCTGTAATCCTAGCACTCAGAAGGCTGAGGCAGGAGGATTGCTACAAGTTCAAGGCCATCCTGGGCTACATATTGAGTTCAAGACCAGTCTGAAGTATATAGCTAGACCCTGTCTCAAAAAAAAAAAAAAAGCCAGACATGATGGCACACACCTGTAATCCAGCACTCAGGAGGCTGAGGCAGGAGGATCATTGTGAGTTCAAGATTAGCCTGGGCTAAAGTGAGCTCAAAGCCAGCCTGAACTGTAGAGCAAGACCCTGTCTCAAATAAAAAGAAAAAAAGAAAAAGTAATGGAAGACATCAAGAGAAAGGTTTTAAGGAAAAAGAAGAATTAAGCATGTTTAAAGGCTAAAACAAAGGAGGTGGTGTTGGAAGGAGGACAGGAAGAAGAATCCTGAATCCTGGAGATGTAGATTTCTCCCCTCTATTCACAATTCTGACTCAGTGCCTACCATGTTTGAGGCAAAGAAAGACGCAGTGTTTGGCACAGCCCTCCCTCCCGGAGTTTGTGGTCTGGTGGATGCCAGAAAAGCAGGGCGTGATGATGAGAACTAGTCATTCCAGGAGGCCGGGGGAGCCCTCCAGGTGGGGATGGCACTGAAGCCAGACCTTGAGGAGTAGATGTTGGCGGGGAGACGGGCGAAGGAAGGGGGCTGCAGCAAGGAGAACGGAGGCGAACTGCAGTGGGCGAGGGCTGGCCCCTGGTGAGGGGAGCCCCTGCCGGCTGGGAGAGGCTGAGTTCAGGACCAGGTTGTAGAAGGCTTCGCAGGCTGTTTGAAGGAGGTGGCTTTGTTCCCTGGATTGGAAGCAAAGGTGCGATGCTACACCAACCATCACCTCTTACCGGAATAGCCTTTAAATCTTCTGCCACCTGGGAGCTGCCCCTGCCGAGCCGTTCTGGAGTGCAAAGTAGCCTGGGGAGGGATCATCCTTTCCCAAGTTGTCTAATCTTCTCACTCATCTCCCTCCCTTCATGACGTTCAGTAGGTCCCCAGTGCTTTCTTAAAACTGAGGTGAAATTCATATGACATGAATTAACCAGTTAAGTGATCGATGATTTTTGTGGTACTGGAGATTGAACCCAGGGCCTTTCACACTGAACGACAGCCCCAGCCGTTTAAAATAAATAAGTAAATAAAAATTATTTTTGAGATACTGTCTCGGTAAATTGCCCAGGATGTGCTTAAAGTTGCAACCCCTACCTCAGCTCCCCCCACCGCACCCCCGAGTGCTGGGATTATGGGCATGTGCCACCCTGCCTGGCTAAATTATTCCTTTTTAAATCGTAGGATCCAGTGACAGCACATTCATGTTGCCGCACACCACAACCGCTATCTAGTTACAAAGCATTTAGCAGTCTCTTCTCATGCAGCCCCTACCCTCATCTCCCCGCAGCCACCAGTGTCTTTGCTGTCCCCGAGGAACAGTGTGTGAGAGACGGCATTATGACCAGTGAGGAGATTATAGCTGACACTGCAAAACATGAAACTTGCATGTATGCCTTATGTAGAAATACAAAATCGGAAAACTTGAGCCAGCCATGGCGGCACATGTTCTGGACTCAGAACCGAACCAAGGTACCAACCAGCAAACACCAAAACGCACGGATCACCAATTGGGATTTAAGAATGAGCCTTTATTAGCTGCCCAGCGACTGACCGAGAGCCTCCACGCAGGGTGGGATCCGGTCAGCCCTAAACCAGGGGAGAGAGCAGCTTTTAAGCCAAAAAAACACATAAACCACATCCTGCTTGGCAAGTGAGGTCTTTATGAAGCAGTCTTCCGAAAAACTATAGAAACTATAGGAAACTTACAAGAAAGGAACAATGTTTCAGGGAGTTTCGAGGAGTGACTAGAATGCAGAACGAAGCAGGTGGAAAGGAAAAGAGTAATCAATAATTTTTTTTCTTTTATGTTCTTTGTGAGGCTATGCATGTTCCTTGTGAGGCCTTTACAGCACACACCTGTAATACCAGCACAACACTAGAGGCTGAGGCAGGAGGATCGCTGCAAGTTCAAGGCCAGCCTGGGCTACATAGCGAGTTCAAGGCCAGACTGAGCTATAGAATGAGACAATGTCTCAAAAAAAAAAAAAAAAAATCAGAAAATGTATTAAATTTATTATAGTAATTGCTTCTAGGGAAAATGGGAGAGGGTTAATAGAGGCATATATATGCCAAAGAAAAATTCATCTTTACCCAAACAGTTTTTTCATTTGAAAAGATTTTGGCTTTCAAAAAAAAAAAAAGCTCAACAAAAGAGGGAGTTGAAGGGGCTGGGGATTTAGCTCAGCGGCACAGCGCCTGCCTGGCAAGTGCAAGGTTGTGAGTTCGATTCCTGGTACCGGAAAAAAACAAACCAAAAAAATTATAATTAAAAGAGGGAGTTGAGGAAGAGAAGGAGGAGTGAAAGGGAGGGGAGGCAGAATAAATAAATAAATAAATAAATAAAAGCTTGACAGACATGACAAAATTTAGTGTTTGTTTATTCTAGCAGGTGAACTATTTTATGTTTATTATTTTCAGACTTTTCTGTATTTCACATTTTGCTTTAAAAGATGTATATAAAAATACACAGTTGCAAAATAGACGTAGGTGAGATTATTTACTAAAAGTAGAGTGGAGTTGAAAGTCTGCGGTAGCCTTAGTCTATTTTCTGTTGGTATAATAGAATTACTGTACCTGCACCTATAAAGTAACTTATGGCTATACAGTAATTTATAAAGACAAGGGTTAGCCG